TCACCATCTTGGCCAGGCTGGCCTTGAACTCCTGACCTCATGATCCACCTGCCTTGGCTTCCCAAAGTGGTGGGATTACAGGCGTGAGCCACCGCGCCTGGCCCACATCTGATTCTTTTGGAATCCTAGGGTCCTAGGTGTTCAGTGATCCTAGATGAATTTTCATCTTAATTTCTTGATTCATTTCTACGTCATTCAGGTAATATAAATTGAGACATGAGCAGTCCACAACTAGTGTCTCCAGCTCCTACTGGTTGCTTTTTATTTTCTACCCAAGATTCAAGTAGACTATGCTTTCCAAGGCCAGAGGAGAGAGGTTTTTTTTCCATGCCCTTTTTGTTAAGGGGAAAGTTCCTGAAGGTCCAGAGCCCTGTATAGAAGTTCAGGTCTAGGCCTTTCTTCCATCACCAGGAGGTCCCTCATGCTGTGATACCCTAAGCCCTGTGTCCAGTGCAAGAACCCTGTGTGCTAGCTTTTTACCAGCCTTTTATAATAACTCTTTATTTCTGGCACCTGCGGACTTATTTTTTTTTTTTAAACTTGGAAATGTATTATTAGTTTTGGGGTATGCTATTTTATATAGCATTTCTTGTATTTTAAATGATACATGGCTTTACACCTTGTAAGACTTAGCCAACACTTCCTAACATCTCTTTTTTAGCAAAGAGGAAAAACCACTGAGTGAGATTCCAGGGGTTTCTAACTTAAATTTAACAGTATTATTTTATTATTATTATATTTATTTTTTTCTATATATAAGTTATTTATTTTATGTAACTTAAATCACTCACCGTTTATTTTACCTGAGTGATTTAAGTTTACATATAATGGTTGAGTATCCCTAGTCCGAAATCTAAAATGCTCCAAAATTGAAGTTCTTTAGTGCTGACACAACACTCACAGGAAATGCTCACTGGAGCATTTCAGATTTCAGATCTTCAGAGCAGGGATTCTCAACTATAGTATATAATGCAAATATTCCAAAATCCAAAAAAGTCAGAAAGTGTAAATATTTCTGGTCCCAAGCATTTTGGATAAGGGATACTCAACCCGTACACTAGCGATACAAACATTCCTCTCAAAATAACCTTAATAAAATAAGTCAACTAAAGAAAATGTTAAGTAAATTGGCAAGTGATAAAAGGCTATGACAAAAACCCTAAAGGTGATATATTAATACTCCATCTTACAGAATACTTAAAAGCATTCCATGTCTTTTCAAGCTTTTTGTTCCTGTTTATTAAAGCATGCTTTGATGTTTTAGCAATCCAGACGTGAAGATATTTACTGTCAATATGAATCTGGCCTAAGAATGTGGAAAATTGGTTACCCAAATCAGGAAATAAAATTTTGAGCATAGCATAAGTCAAATATTCCCTTAAACCATAAAGGCCAGCTATATAGTAAGAATGGGCTAGATTGTAATGTGGTAACAAATAACTACAATATCGCAGGGCAAAACACAACAAAACTTCATTTCTTGTTTACATTTCCAACAAGCTTTCGTTGAGGCCTCTGCTCATCAGAGGCACTCGGGACACCGCCTGGCCGAGCCCGTCCGCAGCTAATAAGGTGGGAAGAGGATGTGGCTCCTCACATGCTTGCTCCTAAGCCTTCTGCTTAGAAGGAACATCTCTCCCTTCTACTCTGTCTTCATTAGCCAAAGCAAGTCATGTGGCGCCTGTCATAACACGTTGATCTTCTAACACACATGGTGTTAATGTCACAGTACCATCCAGCAAAGAAACCATGAAGCAGTTTTAATACATCCTCTAGATGGAGACATGTAGCTATTTCAGCCGTAGTACAGTCAGACTTCTGCTAACCTCTTGGTTAGCTCCAGTCTGTATAAAGAAACTCAAAATGAAGTAGAGGCTACAGATAGATAAAGTAAAATACGGACCTTTACACTGGACTGGTTTGTTACCCAACAGATCCTGAGAGGCTTCAGTATTGATCATAAAACTGCTGTCCTGCTTAATCACCAACTGCTCAGTTTGGCCACTTCATTTCTGCAAATGTTTATGGGCTTAATGTATGAATGTGGTTGAAGTATTTACAAAGAGCGTGACTTGGGTTTCTCTTAGATTTGCTTTTAGGCTATTCTGGCTCAGCTTTCCCTCAGTCCCAGGGGTTTTCTAACATGTCCTTATAGCCTTCTTTTTTGGGGGTGGAGGGGACAGAGTTTCACTCTTGTTGCCCAGACTGGAGTGCAATGGCGCGATCTCAGCTCACCGCAACCTCCGCCTCCCGGGTTCAAGCAATTGTCCTGCCTCAGCCTCCCGAGTAGCTGGGATTACAGGCGTGCACCACCACGCCCGGCTGATTTTGTATTTTTAGTAGAGATGGAGTTTCTCCACCTTGGTCAGGCTGTTCTTGAACTTCCAATATCAGGTGACCCGCCCACCTCAGCCTCCCAAAGTGCTGGGATTACAGGCGTGAGCCACCACGCCCGGCCTAGCCTTCTTTAATATCCATGAGTTTGTGTGAATCTCTCTCCTTGGGTCATCGGTTGATCACAGCCTTCAGCATTTTTCTTCCCCTAGCGCATGCTAACATGGGGGAAAGAAATCTGTGCCTTCTTTACAGGGTCTCTGCTTTGTGTTGAAAAGGAGCACTTAGAGGCAAAGACTCTATTTTCTAACATCAATGAGTTGAGGAGCATTTCTAGGCTCTGTGGAGATTTGTGCAGTAATAAGATTATATTTTATCTAGGCCAATGCCCAAATTATAGTGACCTTTAATTTGATTTGTCCAACCATGACACGTACTTAAATTAAACCACTGCTCCTGGTACTATGTTTTAAGTGGAGGGTATGTAATACCTTAAACTCAGACAGTGCTTTATGACTTACAGAGTACTTTTATTTGTACTGTATTTATTCTCCACAGTCACTATGATGTTGGGTATTATCCCCTTTTAAAATCACAGAAATGGTCAACTAATCTTCTCAGAGTTAATCAGTTTGTCGATACTGGCAGCAGAACCACAGCTCAGAACTAAAACCTCATATCCAGGCAGGACTCCTGCAATTATTCCATGATGTTGCCCATAATTCACAATTTTTAAAAAATCTATTAAACTTAAGCTGATCCTATCTATTTTATAACCATCGTATTTAGTTTGAGGCCAAGGCCCACATCCTGTGTGCTCTGTCAGGCAGATAGAAATCTGATGTCTTAATTTGTGTTCAAGGTTGACTCTTAGGCAGATAACTAGAAAAATAATGCACATGTGCATTTAGAATATTTCAGGCTCAATAATTCAATCCAACACAGTCAGTGGTAGAACTAAGATTTAAATCCAGCAGCTCTTAATAGCAGCATTTTGCTACTTGACAGGTACGAGAGGTTTGATGTCAAGGAGAACACACAGAATGACAAAGATCATTGTAAGGAATTCCAAAAACTGCAGGATCATGGGATACCCAGATATCCATCCCTCTAGGTCCTAGAACTTTCAAAACTGGGGCCTGGTGCAGATCTTCTCTTTGCATACCTCCCCAACCTTTGTTGCTGAATAACATGGTTTGATTCCACCTATCATAGTGTATCTCTGTTTGGCACAGGTTATCTTGTTCCTGCTGATACATTATTGTCTGTCTTACATGCCAACCTCTTGCACGCTCTTTTGCTACCAGGGCACAGGTCTAGTTTTAGAGAACACACAGGGTCAAAGCCACAGAAAGAATGTAGACAAACTCCCTGATGCTGAGCTTTTGAAGGGGTCTCAGGAGTTGGTGGGCAAGTACACAGGCACTTACCTCTATCCAGGGGAGCAACACTGAGTTCTTGGAGGTAGTGGTCATTGTATCAACTCCATCATTCCAACTCCACCACTGGAATGAGACAGGTCTGGCTTGTTCCTCTGTATCCTCGGCACATAGTAGACACTCAATAGATATTTGTTGAATAAATGAAGCAAATGCAGTAATCACTAAGGGTGCAGATTCTTTTCTTTCATCATAGTGCTTTATTGACAGTAGGGGATTTGACTTGCATCCTGAAGAAGTAGATTGAACTCCAAAAGTTTGGTAGATCCAGCGTTACATAGAGCAAAGAGAGGGAGAAGGGAAATAAATTAAGAACTTTAACATAAAGGTTTATCATGTTTAAAATTAGGTTAGTGCCCACATCATAAGGATTCGCCCTAGGTGAATGAAATTATGTGAAATTCACCAAGAAGAAAAATATATTATGGTAAATGGGTACTTACTGAACGAAGGTCCAAGGATGAAAATAAATCAAGAGAAATGTATCATGAACAGTGGTCAGCTTCTTAGAAGAGCATATAGATTCACCACAATTGTCTTCGGTATTTCCTATTTCCCTACACTTTTCTTACCAAATGTGCTAATACACATGGTCGTGGGCTCGGCACTGATTAGAAAAAAGAGGTGGGAAGTCATGACCAGAGCCATCTTCACCAACATATATTCACAGTGACTCTTTAAATATTCAAAAAAGGAAGAAAAATAACATCAGTTTATGCCTGCTCAGGAGTGTCAGGCACTTTACTTTTGTAGCTTAATCTTTAAACAACCTGGTGAAGTAGGTGGTATATCCCTAGTTTACAAATGAAAACTGAGATCAACAGAATATGCTCTCTCTCCCTCTGTCCATGGGAATTTAATTAAAATACTCAAATTTACAGAGTGAGAGATGTATACAAAGCACATATAATGACCGTGTTGTTAAATATAAATAAATATATATATATATATATTTTCCTATTTCTGAGTTTCCCACTTGGTGTGTGTTTACTTAAGTGAGCTAGTAGAAGTGACCTGATGTATGCAAGTGAAATTGGTGTCCATTGTTCTCATTTACCATAACTGCAGAAAGTCTTTAATTTAGGACCACTTACAGTGGATTCAGTTCCCATCTGTGGTTTATTTTAAGTGAGTTGAAAATGTTATCCTGGACTCTCTGAGTTTCCTCTTCAAAAGAAATGAAGTCCTACACAATTGTTGATGCGCTTTGCTTTGCTTTTTTTGCAGACTACTGTCAGAGGATGTAGGAATGGACATCCCGTTTGAAGAGGGGGTGCTGAGTCCCAGTGCTGCAGACATGAGGCCTGGTGAGAGCAGCATTTGTTCATTTCCTTTGTTGGTGTTCTGTATCCCAACGTTTTCATTATTCAGTGAAAGAATTATTTCCTGTGCATCTAACTTATGATTTCAGTGATAGCAGTGAGAGGAAAAAAAGAAATGTGTGATATGAAGGTGTTAGGTTGCATTTGGTTAATTTAAGAGGTGGCTTGAATATTGATGCTCGCTAGTGTGGGCTGCATTTTATCTCCTAGACCACAGCCTTATCTGCCAATGTTTTCAGTTCCTGTAATAATTGGCTACTGTATATTGTACCAAATTCTGACTAATGTCTAAGTTCCCCACATTTACACGTAATTGTAAGAAAGTTTAAAATTGGAAATGTGGTATCAAGAATGCTCAATATCCTAACTATCAAAACCAAAACCAAGACAACAACAACAAAAAACAACCATCCTACATTTTAGGAGTTTACAACCCAAGGCATACACAAAAAACAATTTAATTTTTCAGTTGCAACTTATATGACTCTCTCTGTGTTCCAGGGTCACTCTCTTACATTACACCAACTCCAGGATCATACCAAGATCCTGAATCATGTATTCTCAGCCAAGCCTACAGTGTGGTGGGAAGAGGGAAGGCAATTACATTTGTTTTCTGTTGTAGTATTTGAAATGCATTCTTCAAAATACTAGTCATGTAACAGATTTCTAAATGTTCTATGGCCAAATATGCTTGGTAACCACAGTATGCTTATTTGAATCTTCCAAGTTCACAATGTACTTTTGAATGATAAAGGCACTGAGGCTATGGTTATCTGATATGGTAAGCAGCTAGTCACATGTGGCTATTTAAATTAATTAAAATTAAAAATAGTTGTTTAAAATGCTCTTCTTCAGTTGCACTAGCCTCATTTCAAGTGCTCAATGGCCACATACAGAACCTTTTCATCATCACAAAGAATTCTTTGGGACATCACTGTTCTGCAAATTCCTGAAATATAGAAACTCAGTGTGGAAACTTACTTGTCAATAGAAACTTTTTTCAAGTAATACATAAAACCATTACCTGGAACAGAGTTTGGGTGATGTTCCATTCAGAAAAGAAAAAGCTTAATGACAAGGAAACAGTGCCAGTTTCTCTAGGACAAGGCCGGAGTCAGAATTCTGGAGTTGAAGGGTATACCAAATGGTCTTCAAAATACTTCGTGCTTGGGAATCCTGTCATTTCTGGTTTTAGGTGAAGGCAACAAACTGTATTGTCCTACTCTGCTCTCAAACTGAACACTTCTGTGACCGGATGTGTAGGGTTCTGTTTTGTTTTGTTTTGTTTGTTTTGTTTTTGCCACACACCAAGCAGTTTTCTAATGAACACCAACTGGGTATCCTATAATTCAGTTCTGACACTATCCACCTTAGGAAATGACAAGGGTTTTAAGACCTCTGTGCCTGGAACCAGGGCCAAAGACCAAAATATATTTCTTATTATACTACAGTAGGGTATCTCTCTACCTTTGTTTTGTTAGCTTAAGCTTGGTTAAAAATGACTTCTCCAGCTCTGCTTCTATTAAATGAAAGGCAGCTGAGCAGCAAGACACATACTACAATGAAAGGAGGGAGCCTACACATAAGATTATCACTTACATTATAGGAACCAATGTCAAGTGAGATTGGCATAAGAGCTGGTGACTGCTTGGGTGAGCTCCAAGAATGTTACCTGGGAGGATACTTCAGCCAGGTAAAGGGCAGTGACGATCATATACAGAGTTGTCAGGACCTAAAAGAAGTATTTTGGGAGTGTCTGTGAACATGACAAAGTTCTTAACCTACATTCCATAGGAGTAAAGTCAACACAAACCATTAGAAAATATAGTTGACCCTCTGTATCCATGGTTCCAAATCCATGGATTCAACCAACCACAGAAGAAAAATATTTAAAGAAAAAAAATCGCATTTGTACTGAACATGTACAAACTTTTTTTCCTGGTCATTGTTTCTAGACAACAGAGTGCAACAGCTATTTACTTTGTATTAGGTGTTATTCTAGAGATGATTTAAAGTATACAGAAGGATGTGCATGGGTTATATGTCAACACTACACCATTTTATATCAGGGACTTGAGCATCTGTACATTTTGGTTTCCACCAGGGGTCCTGGAATCAATCCCTTATGGATATCAAGGGACAACTGTATATGTAAGCTTAACTGTTTTTCATATGCAATATACCCCGTGAAAATTTAATTCAATTATTATAGCAATTTCAAGTTTTCAAACTTGAACAGGGAAATTCTAAAAACTAGTTACCTACCCATTTAGCAATAGCTCCTACTTCCTGTTTCTACATGGCCAAGGCCGAGGGGGTTGGGAGGATCCAGTTACTGAGGGCTGCTTTCAAGAAGGGTTTCTAAATCTCATACCAAGATTTCTATCAGGTCTGCTTTTGCTGAAAGGACTTGAAAAATGTTTTCCACTGGGCCCAAACCCCCTCTTGGCAGCCACGTATAGGTTAAGTATCCCTTACTTAAATGCTTGGACCAGAGTGTTTCAGATTTTGGATTTTTTCAGATTTTGGAATATTTGGATTATACTTACTGGTTAAACATCCCAAATTCAAAATTCTGAAATCCAAAATGCTCCGGTGAGTATTTCCTTGACACGTCATGTTGGCACTCAAAAAGTTTCAGATTTTAGAGCATTTGGGATTTTAAAATTTTGGATTTAGATTGCTCCTCTGGTTTAATACTTGATGTTGCTGTTCTCTTTCTTCTTTAGAACCTCCTAATTCTCTGGATCTTAATGGCACTCATCCTCGGAGAATCAAGCTCACAGCCCCAAATATCAATCTTTCTCTGGACCAAAGTGAAGGATCTATTCTCTCTGATGATAACTTAGACAGTCCAGATGAAATTGACATCAATGTGGATGAACTTGATACCCCCGATGAAGCAGATTCTTTTGAGTACACTGGCCATGGTAAGTCACTAAGTTGGCAAGGCCAAAGTTAAATGCTAAATAAGTAAAAGATTTTCTAACAGACCTCTCATTTTTGTGCCAGTGGATCCTTTTTGTGATTTCTAGAAGCTTCTGTTTTTACTTCAGGTCATAGGTGACCACGATTGACAGTTTGGAGCTTGACAGAGAACGTGTGGTTCACAGAGGTCCTACATAACCATTGCTCTTTATTCACCCCTACTCTGTGCTAGCATTTATGCTAGGCACGGGGGCTGAGGGAAGACTGTTACATGCTGTGTTGTAAGAAACCCGGGGCTGGGTTTGCAGAGGAAGAGAATTTAATCCGGATGATAAAATTTGAAGAAGAGAAATCAGAGCTTGACAATTTCTTATATAAGTTCCCACTATCTGCAAAGTTCTGTTCCCCAGATCCTTACATGACTGACTCCTTCTCTTTATTCAGATGTTAATCAGATGTCACCTCTTCAGAGAGGTCTTCCTTGACCTCTGGAATCAAAGGTGCATCCCACTTCCCTGCTCCCACTACCTAGTCACTCTCTGTCCCCATATTCATTGTATTTTCCATGTATCACTAATTCAAATTGTATTATTTAACTATTTGTTTGCATCTTTCTGTCTTTCTCTTACCCCTCGAATCTATGCTCCATGAGAGCAAGGACTTTATGTCTGATCCTGCATCTCCAATAAAGTAGGAAGGAAGAAGGGATGGTTTAGGGGGAGTGGGAGAAATGATAAAAAGGAAGACAATTAAAAGTTGTCAGATCATCCAAGACTCACACTCCTGATATGAACATCAGTCTTTAGTTCTTTCTCTTGCTCTATGAAATTTGGTTTAAGAAATATGTACAAATACAAAACATTTGCTTTTTTTTTTTTTTTTTAATGGCATTATGTAGTTTCTGTTTCAGTACTAGCCAGGGTGGAATTCTCCAAAGTTACAGTGTTTGAAAGTGAAACCGAGTGAGTCTGGGACACAGATATTGCTTTTATTCATTTTAAGAATTCATGCAATCTCAAAAGTAATACGGTGCCACAATTAAGTGATGGCCTGACTTTTAGAGATATGCTAATTCTAGCAGTTCCACTCCTGAAGAGAGTAATTAGAAAAGTCACCAAATTAGCTCATTATTTCAACCAATGGTCATTGAGCTGAAGTGAGCAGTGCAGTTCAGAGTCTACCTTGACAGAGCTTAAGGCTTTATTTCCTCAAAAAGGAAATGGCTAAACGACTTGTTTTATAGTCTATTATGCTTAAGTAGAGTTTTTTTTTCCATAAGTTTTTGGGGTCCAGGTGATACTTGGTTACATGCTTAAGTTCTTTAGTGTAAGTAGAGATTTTTATCATGTGTGAATTTCTGTAGTTATCTGGGTAGTTGATTCTGTAGGTTGAAATACACAAATAGGAGGTGAAAGAAGGTCTGGAATTTGTATTATTTCCTGTCATCCCAGAGAGTCTTCAGCAGCTCCTCTGTCCATCCCAGTTGCCCCTACCAGCTCCCACTCTTTTCCTGCTAATATAGTGACAAAATCCCACAAAAGACTGTGGCATGATCCTACCGGCCCCTCCCTCGCCTCCGTATTTGCTTCTCTGTTGCCAGGAGAACTTTGTCACACCACATCTGAACCTTTTATTTTTATACATAGTAAAACTGTCAAGCAAAGCACTGGTGGCTGAGCAAGCTGGTAATTAACACTGCCACTTGCTGACATGGCTTTTAATGTAGTTGACATAGCTGTGTTGAAAGAACCAGTTTAATGGCCACAACCCTGCTTTTAGGTCTTAAATGCAAAGGACAGAATTGTAAAGTAAGTTGAATTTTTAAATCTACCCTAATTTTCAAATGAAAAGTATATGGTCAGAGGTTTTAAACAAAAACATGAAACTTTGAAAACACAAAGTGCGCCTGAATAGCTATATTTTGTAAACATGAGGACACGGATAAGTGACTGTATAAGAGGGTTAGATTATAAATATGTTTTAGTTCTGAAGTATGAAATAAATGCTTGAAGGCAGCCTGTTTCTTAGGTTTCTCGTGGCATCATTTTGAACCAGGCATATACATTCTAAACAAAATAGGGGTTTTTAAGGTATAGTTTTTCAAAAACATTTGGGCCGTAATTTATTTTCTTTTAATGAATACTTTTTCATTTATGTTATATTTTTCATGTACATATTTTCATTATATATTTTTCATTATATATTATATATTTTTACTATATATTTTTCATTTATATATTTTTCTTTCTATATTATATACCTCATTATATTATATATTTCATTATCTAGTTTTCATTTATTTCATTTTATAGATGAGAACACTGAAGCACAGAGAAGTTAAGTAATTTGCCTAAGGTCACACAGCTCATTGTTGCCCTTAGCTCCTGGCCCATGCTGCTTCCCAGTGAATATGCTAACAATGAATGGAAAAAGGTTTGTTACTAGATTGGGCTTACATACGTGAAGTCAAAGGTGATAGCTCTTGCTCACCTTTAGGCCTCTTTTTATCCAGTTTTCCTGACTTGGGGACTCTAAAAACAAAACAAAACAAAACAAAAAAAACAGTAAGAGTTACTGTACCAAATGCCTGAAGGTTTTTCAGGCCTTTACCTGTTTTATTCAGTAGCTGATGACCAAATGCGTCTGCCAGGGTTTTTGCTCACAGTGTAATTTTGCTTGTGGAAAATTTGTGAAGCTCACTGTCAAATATATTCAACTGGTCCTCCCTTTCAAGCAGTTTTCTTTAATAGTTGTGTCCAAAGTGTTGGGACATGTAAGTTAAGGTACTGTGAAATAATTAAAGTTTGATGTCCTTTCGTATTTACAAAGTACCAAAAATATCAAAAACACGTAGATAATGATGGACTTGGGAGGTCATTCTTTCATATTAAGAAAGATCTGAGTTTTTTCTTTTTTAATACTTTAGTTTACTAATCCTAGAAACTTATATCCAAAGGTCAGGAAAAATAATAACTCATTTCTGTTTCCCAAACCAACAACAAAGTTATTTTTACCACCATTCAGATCTTCAGAAAGATATTTTGTAAGGGAAGTGGAAAAATGAAAAATTTTAGACTGAATATTTCTGATAAGAATGTTATAAGAAATCCTCATGTGCTCTTATATTTTTCCTTCTTAGGCTCCCAAGTGATGGTTAGTGACCTCTTCTGAAAGATCTTTTTAAATATTAGCCCCTAAAGGCAGTTTTCTTTTTTCATAAGGCACCCCAACATCATTTCCAGATAATCAGGGTGTCACTTCATTGAACTTCCCCATCCATGATTTTCCATTATTTTCAGTCTACAAGCAACCAGCTTATAAAATCAATTTTCCATTTTAACTGTCTATATAAATTAATCAAGTGCTAAGTTTATTTTGTTTTATCTGTAAGCAGCCTTATGCCATAATGGTGTTGTCTGAAAGGAGGATTTTTCATTGTATTTTGTATGCTAATATTTTTCTCTCAAATTAACTGCCTGCTTGCTGTTTGTCACCAAAATATTCTAAAGACTTTTTAACAGTATATAGGATATCTTTCCTATAACCAGAAAAGCCTCTAGGAGTACTCACATTAACAAGTGCAAGATTGTGATACAGAAAGCTGTCACAAATGCATGTGCCTCCTGGAAGGCCACAGCTGACATCATCATTAGTTAGTCCATAATGAACACCAACAATGCACCCCCCACTGTAGTCTGTGTAGCACAAACCATTCAGGAGCTTGTGTGCTATATCATCTCAAAAAGACACGAGCAAATGTTCAAGTTGACTTCTCCCCTATGTACAAGGTTTTGATAGACTCCAACAGTCACTGGGAAGAAAAGCTCATTGTTGAGAAAAGGAGACAAAAAAACAAGTATTTCTTAGTGAAGAAGCATGAGACCAAAAATTAAATTTGGGGAACATCAGGATAGAGAGTTAAATGAGACCTGAATATTTTTGCAAACAGTGGGAAAATGAAGGCTGTGGAGAGGATGGTAATTTATAGTTAGAACAAAAGAATTATGAAGGTCAGGAGGGTTTTGCTAACTCCAGAAAGTCGGTAAAGCTATCTTTCCTTCTTACTAACTTGTATTGTTGACTTCTAGAAATGAACAACTTAAGAAAACTTAATGTAGCCCTAGCTCTTAGATAACTTTTTTCCCTATTTACATCAGCCAGAAGAGGAAGGGAAGGAGGAATACTAGCAACTTGCCGGCTTCCACTCTCTGAAACGTTAGGCATTACACCCCATAAAAACGTTCAGCCCTGGACTTTTACACCAAAACGAGTAATAATGCTATCTTTATAGGAAAATGCTGATAGGTGTGTGTGTACACATACATACTTTTAACATAGAGATGCCCTTTCTTACTATGATACCATAATCAAAAACCATGAAAAAAAAAGTTAACAGACTCAACTACATAAAAATATTAAATTTATATTTGGCAGAAAAAGATAGATATTAGTTTAAAAGCTAAGCATGGGGTAAGCACAAGGCAAAAAAAAAAAAATTGCAACATATAACAAAGTTCTGTACAAAAATTCCAACTAGGTTACAGTGAGCTGAATCACACCACTGCACTCCAGCCTGGGCGACTGAGCAAGACTCCATCTCCAGAAACAAAACAAAACAAACAAACAAAAACCTCCAACTAGTTCATAAGGACCACAATAGGAAAGGGGCTTAAAAGGTACCTCCTTGTCCGTAAGAGAGATATAAATAGCCAATAAACAGTGAAAAGTGTTTACCTTCTTTAATAATTAAAGAAATTCAAATTAAAACAATGTGATAATTTCCCCTTAAATTGTCAAGGGTTGAAAACTTTGATAGCCTATCGTGTTCTTGGCAATGGGGGACATCCAGCCCTCTCATATATTGTGGTATAGCATATTCAAGAGCAAAAACGTCCCCAAGACTTGACGTGGTTATACCCGCTGACCAAGCACTTCATTGCTAGAAAGTTCCGCTATAGCAATACGTGTACAAATAAGGTAAGACTCCTTCATGCAGATGCTTACTGAAGCAAATTCTTTATAAAGAAACAACAAAAAGAAATAAAACTATATTTCATCACCATGGGATTAGTAAACTACAAGACATCAGCAAAATGGAATACTTGAGGGCTACTCTTAAAAATTTTCTAACCATTGAGTTTGTGTGTGTGTGTGTGTTTTGAGACAGAGTCTTGTGCTGCTGCCAGGCTGGAGTGCAGTGACGTAATCTTGGCTCACTGTAACCTCTGCCTCCTGGGTTCAAGCGATTCCCCTGCCTCAGCCTCCCAAGTAGCTGGGATTACAGATGTGCACCACCATGCCCAGCTAATGTTTTGTATTTTAGTAGAAATGGGGTTTCACCATGTTGGCCAGGATGGTCTTGATCTCCTGACCTCGTGATCCACCCATCTCAGCCTCCCAAAGTGCTGGGATTACAGGCGTGAGCCACCATGCCCGGCCTTATTGTTGAGTATTAAGCATTCTTTGTATATTTTGGATAACAGTCCTCATCAGATATGTGTTTTGCAAATATTTTCTCCCAGTCTGCAGCTTATCTTCTTATTCTCATTCTCTTGATTTTTCTTTTATATAGAAGTTTTAATTTTAATGAAGTCCACCTTATCAATTATTTCTTTCATGGATCATGCCTTTGGTGTTGTATCTAAAAAGTCATCTTTGCACCCAAGGCCAATTACATTTTCTCTTCTAAAAGTTTTATAGTTTTGAATTTTACATTTAGGCCTATGATCCATTTTGAATTAACTTTTGTGAAGGACCAAAGGCCTGGGTCCAGATTCATTATTTTACAGGTGGATGCCCAGTTATTCTAGCACTATTTGTTGACAAGACTATCTTTGCTTTGCTGTATTGCCTTTGCTCCTTGTCAAAGATTAGTTGACTATATTTATGTGGTATGTGTTTTACTAAAACCATAGTAAAGAATGTAGTATACAATATTTTTTTTTTTTTTTTTTTTTTTTTTTTTTTTGAGAGGGAGTTTCACTCTGTCTCCCAGGCTGGAATGCAGTGGTGCTCGGCTCACTGCAAGCTCCGCCTCCCAGGTTCACGCCATTCTCCTGCCTCAGCCTCCCAAGTAGCTGGGACTACAGACGCCCACCACGCCTGGCTACTTTTTTGTATTTTCAGTAGAGACGGGGTTTCACTGTGTTAGCCAGGATGGTCTCGATCTCCTGACCTCATGATCTGCCCGCCCCGGCCTCCCAAAGTGCTGGGATTACAGGCGCGAGCCATGGTGCCCGGCCTACATTTATTTTTATTTTTATTATTTTTTTTGAGACAAGGTCTCACTCTGTCACCCAGACTGGAGTGCAGTGGTGCCATCATAGCTCACTGCAGCCTTGACCTCCTGGACTCATGTGATCTTCCCACCTCAACCTCCCAAGTAGCTGGGACTACAGGCACATGCCAACATATCCAGCTAATTTTTGTATTTTTTGTAGAGACTGGGTTTCTCCGTGTTGCCCAGGACTGGTCTCGAACCCCTGAGCTCAAGTGATCCACCAGCCCTGGCCTTCAGAGTGCTGGGATTTCAGGCTTAAGCCACCACACCCAATCAAAAATGTTTTACATAAGGGGATTTTAATAAAATTTGCGGAAAGTATAACAAAACAACCCTATCTTAACCCCACAGAGATGACCAGGGTAAAGCTGGAGCAGGTCAGAGGGTACCAAACAGGATGAAGAGTATCTGGTGGATGGAAAGTTCACTGGAGGGAAGGGGGATGTGTAGAAGAGCATCAGAATACAAACCTGCTTCAGAATCCAGAGTTCTGAGGGAGCAGAGACCAGACGGGAAATTGAGTTTCAGGAAGGGAGCTAAGATTAGCATCCCAGGCATCTACCCCATGTAGGAAGGAAGAAGCAGGAAGGGATTCCAAAGAGATGGGTGGAGTTGCACAAGGGACACGACACTTGGCCTGAAGCCAGTGGTTTATGATCTCTGTCCTTGATAAACTGCCGCATGCTGGTGGGAACACAGTGGAAGCCAGAGTGACCCAAGGCTCTGTAGGTGGTGGTAGCTGTTGGTGTTGGCAAAAAAGGCTAGGATTGCTTCCCAACCAAACTTCATTTTGCTATCCAAGTCGTTGGTAATTAGACAATTTTGAAGGTATAATTGCAAATTCTTCCAGAACATAATGGTGGTGCGGTGGCTCCCTTACAGATTACCTCCATTTCCAGGAAATTATCCGAGTTTTTCTTCATTTACTCACTCACCTTCCCAATTTTTTTTGAGTGTTCTGAGTAAGTTTGTAAGCTAAGTAGGGAGCGGGTTGGTGGAAGTGAATATTAAAGGGGATTCAAGGCACAGTTTCTTTGCCCAAGGGACTCACAGTCTCTTTGTAAAATAAATAAGGAGAGTCACACATTCAAGGTACAATGTGATAGATTAGAAGGGCTGAAAAAAGGGAAAGGTTTTGGCTATATTTATTTAGTAACCATGATCTGAGGCAAACCACTTCAGAGTCAGTTTTTGCATTGGTATAATGACCATTTTAATATCAACTAGTACCTGGTACAAGGTCGATACTTAATACAATAGTGCTGTTGTTGTCATCAAAGTGCCATAGAAAGAAGTGAAATGCAGTGTAAATTCAATGGTGCTTTTCCAAGAATGGAAAAATAACAATGATAATGTCTTGAAATTATTTTGAAGGTTATAAATAATCTTTTCTTTCAGATTAAACATACAAAGAATAACCATCATTAAGCTCTACTAATACTTCTAGTAAAAATGGAAACAATTGCTGCTTAGACTTTTTTTAAAAAAATGTATTTTTTTTTAATGCACAAGAGTAAATTTCTTCCCAGAGAATGTTCAGTAGGCTTTTTTATTGTCTTATGCACCCATCAATTTGGGAGTCTTGCGCATTTGGGGTCTTTGAGCATTTCTGGTCTACACAGTTGTTTATTTCTCGCTTACTATAAAGTCTTTGTGTGGCGTATTTTGAAATAGTACATAGAAAGCAATATCAAATTTATGTCTAGATGTGCTCCCAATAGGGGGCTCAGCCCAGTTGTGAGAGTCTTAGAGTAGGAGTCTTGGCTTGTAATATCATCAGGATTCCAAGTTGACCCCAAAAGACTCTAAGCACTGAAGAGATGCGACCCCAAAACCACAAGATTTTCTGAGTCTAGTAACAAAGCTTTTCACCCCATTAGAAAGACCTGCAATCTTTACCCCGATCAAGGGTGAGTTGGTCCTGGCTTGTGCACACCTTGGACCACTACCCATGCAAGACAGCTCAAGCTTTGCACCTAGTCTCACCCTCAGCATGACCTTAGCAATGGATGTGGTTGTTCAGTTAATAAAAAAGACTTTATTGAGTGTACTTTATATGGTCAGGATATTGCTAAGCTCTGTAAAGGCTGTAGAAAACAAGGACTTTGATCAGGTTGATTCTGCAGGATGAAACAAAACAAAAGCTGCCCATAGAAGTACTCTGTGTTCATTTAAAAAAGTATTTTAAAGCTTAGCATTTGGCTGTTTAGCTGCCTGCACTATGGAGGTGTTGCTCCTTCAGCCCTGCTCTGTGCTTTGTTTCCAGAAGATCCCACAGCCAACAAAGATTCTGGCCAAGAGTCAGAGTCTATTCCAGAATATACGGCCGAAGAGGAACGGGAGGACAACCGGCTGTGGAGGACAGTGGTGATTGGAGAACAAGAGCAGCGCATTGACATGAAGGTCATCGAGCCCTACAGGAGAGTCATTTCTCACGGAGGTAGTCGAGCTCTGCGTGAATCTGGGAAATGGGGAAGGGGCAGCCATTTTATTTAAAATCAGAAAGTGAGTCTAGAGTTCGGTGGAACACGACATCTCAAAGACCCTATTCTAGAGCCCATATTCAGGGAACTATAGAGCTAAGTATATTTCCTCATATTAAATTCAATAAACATTTAAAGTCCTACTAGGCAAAGACAACTTTCCCATATAAAACGGGCTTTTCATGCTACATGTCTGATAGCGATCATGTTCTGTGCCAATGTGTTGAAAGTCATAGTGGTCTAAGTTAAACGTCTGTTTGTCATTCTTATCAGTCCATTGTACGGTTGAACTGAACAGAAGATGTGACACTGTGGCCTGTGTCCTAAACTACCCCCGAGGTGCTTCTTATTACAAGATGGTCTTTTGAATCCTCTTCAGAAGCTTTGGGGATTTTTTGTAGACTTAGCCTAGTAATTGTTTCCCCTAACTGAAGTTTGCCTTTCTAGACACTACATTAAATCTAGGCCTGACAACAGCCAAGCCCAGTCAAAGCCTCCACCTGTTTGGTGAGAGACAAGGGAGAGAGAAAAGTGTGTTTGTATTTCCAGCACTTTCTTGAGGGCTCCTGGAGCATATGTGGCCTTGATTAATTTGGGATTCACAAAATGTCAGATGAGTGGAAGCAACACATTTAACACTGTCAACTTCAGAAAACATCGACAGCATTTTGATTCTTCTGCTGCATGCCTTCCTTTCCCAAGTCCTGAGGCGCCACTGTAACCACCCAGCTGTTCCAGAAAGAGTGTGAGCTGACGAGGCAGTTGTTGCTGTCTCAGTTCTCTCTTCCTTAATGAGGGCAGGGAAATAAGAGTCTTAGCACTGCTCAAAACACTGCTTTTGTTTTCTATTATAATAAGCAGAAGGCTGATTTGTTATTTCAGTCAAACCTTCCATCCCATACATTGCTACCCCCACATAAGTATCAGGACCACCCAGGGAACCTGACCACTGTAGCAAAGGTGAATGCCAGTCCCTGCCCCTGGTCCTGGCCTTTCTTTTTCTTGCCTTACTGTTTGACCTGAAATGGAAATACGACCCCCTGAGAGCTGCTGTGGGGTCAGGAGCAGTTTCCTCTAAGGGAAATCATGCCCGTAGCCCTTCAGAATGAGAGTTGGCCCAGTCTTGCTGAAAGTGACACACAGCTGGCTGTAGAGTCAACCCTTCTGGTTTTATGTGAAAACCATAGGAGGAACACTCAGTCTTCCCCATCTTCCCAGGTCACATCTCCTTTGCACCACCCATCAGATATTTTTGGTTTGTTTTCTTTTTGAAAATAAAAACAAAACAAAGCCTGCCTGTAAGAGTACTCTACTCTATGTTCATTTTTAAAACTATTAAAAAATAAAAATGTCTGTCAAATCAAAGCCACCCAGTGATAAGCCCCTATAAACATCAGCTCCTAAAGGCAGCTCGTGGTCCCGCTGCTCCTCTAGGGCTAGTTATCTGCTAATACTCCAGTAGACTCGCCTGCTTGTTCTTTAGGTGGGCTGGGTGGCATGGTCAAGCCCATCAGCCTGTTGTCAGAATCAGGAGAGAATGGTTATCATCAGTGCACTGATGGTTGGAAAAAGCCACCGCTTCTGCCTGCCACAGTCTTGTAACAGTTCACCGGAGCCCTCAGGGCTAACCTGGTTTGCTGTGCTCTCCGTCCCTACCACCTCCTCCCTTTGCCATTTGCTCTTCTCCATTCTGTGTTGCAAGCTCAGTTTTTGTCTGTGTGACTGTCCGGTTTGTTCTGAAGAGAAGGCCACCTCCCCTCTCCCCAGCCCTGCCTCAGCCCTCTCCAGGCACTGGCCTGCATGAAGTGTGCCTCTGGCTGCACCCATCCGGAACTTTAGAGAGAGATGCCACCTTTTCCTGCACCCTGAACAGCTTTTGTGCTCTGTAGGTAAAGATGCTCCAGATGTTACTTCTGAATTTGCCAAAGCTTTGTCTTCCACATTAGGAGTTTACACCACTCTCTTAGACCATAAGAGAAAGCTCCTTACTTACCAACCTACTGAGTTTGTCCTTCTGGCTTCTGATGAGCGTTTAAAAAGCAGCAATCACTTCCCAGTAAACATGAATCTTATTTGGTGCTTGGTATTTTGCTGTGAGGAAGTTTTGTCATTTGGGCCAATAGAGAAGTGCCAGCTGCACAGTGCTCTGTGCCAAAAACTGTAAGGTGGGGGCAATCAAAAGAGCTGCAGAAGTTAGCCTCAAAGCCAGGCCCTGCCAAATGTCCCACCTGTTGAAAATACTGGTGCATGATGGCAGTATTTGAATAAATAATTCAGTCTTCAGCTTTGGTGACCTTGATATGAGCTATTGCCAGAGGCCCTGCACACAATGTAGAAGAATGAGGCTCAGTACCCATCTCTGCCACTTGCTAGTCTGTAACCTTGGTATATTACTTACCATCTCTGGGCTTCAATGACATCATCAGTCAAATGAGGGTGATCTCAACACCACTGTTCACATCCTATGAGCCAATAGCAATATCCTTGCCATCTGCATAAATCAAAGCAAAGAGGGGTTTGGATAGTTTTGCTCAGCCAACAGTATGGGGTCCCTCTGAGGCTAGAACTGGCTTTTTTTTGAACTTGGAGCAGAGAAACCCATTTAAATAATGGAGAAAAATAACACCAAGTAATTTTAACAAGGATTCTTTTTTTTTTTTACTTCTCTTATTTCATTATAGGAGATTCAGGTAACCTTCTCTGCAGTCTTGCTGGACAAATGACCCTGAAAAGAATGAGGAGAAGAGTTGCTGGCTGGTGTGTGTGTGTGTATGTTTTGGTTGCGACTGTGACATCTTTCCTTCTGTCTCCATTCCATTTGCTGGCCAGCAAACTTGTGTTACATCCCTTTCATGCCTGTCTGTGTCACTCAGGTAAGGTTTGCGCCCTTGCTTCAGAGGGTCTCAGGAGACTCCTGGGGGGTTGCTCATGCACCCTACCCAGCACATACACCCTGAATTCACCTCACCTTTCTTGAGAAGAGAGTCTAATGAAAGAAATGTTTTAAAAAACAGACTTCAAATGAATTATGCTGTTGCCAACAGAGGAAATTTTACTTGAGTAAGTTGCGTATCTGAGAATAGAAATTGAGGGGTTAGCTGACCCCTTCAAGGTATCTGGGAGGGGCAAAAAGTGAATGATCCTATGCATTCTAGTTATTGTACTTTGCCTGCAATGATAGTATTATCTGATTTTTTAAATTTAAATTTAAATTTTTTTAGCAGGAAGCAGCTATAGAAAAATTACAGTATTATCTGAAATATCTCCCAAGCCTGCCAATGGCACTGGCTCTTGATTTTGGAGGAAAACTTTCATGTGGAAATCTTTTTCTTTTATTTCCCTCCTTCAGTTATCCCCTCTCCTTCTACTTTCTTCCTTCTCTTTTTGCCTCTTCTTCCCTTCTTAAAGATCCTCTACCCAAAAGAACAAATTTTCATTTATAAATTTTCATTTTCCTTTATAAATTTCTGTACTTTTTATATTGAGACATTTCTTACTTAGACAGCGATCATGAAGTAGTGAGTTGATCCCATAGTATTCCTTTAGTTAAATAAACTTGGATGAACATGATGCTGCAGCATTCCAAGGGCAGACAGCATTTACACAGTGAGCTGAACTGCCATTTAAAATGACGTCTGAAGTACTGTTTATAAACCTCAGTCTTTCCCTTTCAAAAAAAAATTTCTTAGAAGTTCATGGAAATAAAGAAAGAAATCCAAGTAACTGAGCAGTCATGATCTTGAAATTACTGTAACACTCTGGAGCCAAATTGCTACATTTAGAAAGATGCTTTTGAAAGGATGCTTTCTTACTTGCTTTTAAGTTGGATTCATTATGTCTATTGTCTCTTTTAATGAACTTCTGTCTTTTCATCATGCTGAGGATGAATTGCTTGTCTGTGCAGTGTGAGGATTAGTATAGCTAAGCCACCATATCCTTTGTGAATTTCTATTTAGTTATGCATCTTCAGAAATGAAATTGTGGTAACAAGCAATTTTTGTATTAAGATATGTCTCCTCCTGCCATTTTCCTTCATATTGCATTCTAAAAAGTAGTTGATAAATACCTGCATATTGGAAAGATGGAACTAAAGCAAAAAAATCCAGAGAGAAGCTACTACATTACTCTCTCACAAATGTGTGTTGTATCAGTTGAATACTTACATAGGTAGCATCTTCTAAGATCTGTAGTGTAAATACTGTGTTCAACAATACCATATCATCACTTGTAGTATAAATACTGTATACAACTACCTCAAATTAGTAATACTCACAAACCCATAATTGGGTATATTTTTAGTTAGTATTGGTCTCTTCCCCCATCTTTTTTTGCAGTAGAGTCACACTCTCTTTGTAGAAAACATCTTATTAAACTGCTTTTTCAAGAGTTAATTAACTCCATCCAAATCTATATACAGCCATTACTTTACTGCCATGTAATCACCAGCGAGTATTTAGAGTTCTGAAAAAACTAACACATTGCGTTCTGGGAGGAATGGACCAGGCTTAAGCGTATGTCCTGTCCTCCTACTCAAAGCTTGAAGAAAATCCCTTTAATGATTCTATAGTCCAGAACTATATGACATCAATTGCAATCGTTTAGACAGGGATACTAAAAAATAAAAATTCACACATTGCTTCCCTTTTTAAGTGTGAAAGACGCATGACATTCCGTATAGTTACCTGTGGGGTTCTGACTGACACCTGCTGTGAGTTTCAAAGAAACTGTGGGAATGTAAAGCTTGCTTAAAAGACAGGGCAATTCCAAAATTATGCCAGAGCTTTCAAAAGATGGGGAATGGTGTCCTGAGATGTATCTACATGTTCCTTGACCCCTGGAGTTTCAATGGCCACACGTTCCACATTTCCCACCTGCTGTTTTCTCAGTACCTCCTGCAAGTAGCACTTATACTCCTCAGTCCCATGTTACCAGGAAGCAGTTCTCAAGATTTCCCAAAAGTACAGAATTTTGTACGACTCAAATATAATTTAGCCAGACCCATCTGTGGTTTTCCTCCTCTTATGAGAGGAAGTTTTCTTCCTCTTAGTAGAATTCAGAACCTAGCCCCTTAACAGAACTCAACGTGTAAGTTTCTCAGAACTCTAAATACTCACTGAGTGATTACGTGGCAGTAAAATATTGGCTGTATATAGATTTTTTTGTTGTTTGTTTTTTTGAGACAGAATCTCACTCTGTCACCCAGGCTGGAGGGCAGTGGCGCAGTCTTGGCTCACTGCAACCTCCACCTGCCGGGCTTAAGCAATTCTCCTGCCTCAGCCTCCCAAATAGCTAGGATTACAGGTGTGCACCACCACATCTGGCTAATTTTTGTATTTTTAGTGGGGACGAGGTTTCACCATGCTGTCCAGGCTGGTCTTGAACTCCTGGCCTCAAGTGATCTGCCTACCTCAGCCTCCCAAAATGCTGGGATTACAGGCGTGAGCCACAGTACCCAGCCTGGCTGTATATAGATGTGGATGGAGTTAGTTACTCTTGAAAAGCAGTTTAGTAAGGTGTTCTCTACAAAGAGAGTGTGACTCTAGTGCAAAAAAGATGGGGGAAGATATGCCCAAAAATATACCCAGTTATGGGTTTGTTGTGTCATGTAGCTCTGGACTGTAGAATCATTAAATAGAGATTTCCTCCCAGCTTTGAGTAGGAGGACAGGACATACCCTTAAGCCTGGTCTCGTCCTCCCAGAGCCCAATGTGTCAGTTTTTTCAGAACTCTATATACCCACTGGTGATGACATGGCAGTAAAATATTGCACAGAACAAGGCCTGGCTAGAACTTCTCATGGGTTCTTGCACTGTCTGTTGATCCCAGGGGCACTGCAGGCCTTGAAATCAAAATAAAGGTGTTTTAATTGTCTACTCGCTAGTATTTGGTCACTGGAGTGTGTGAATGAGAGATTATATTGCACTTCAGTGGCTAAATTCTCCCTTTAAATTAAGCAGTGTCTAAAACTAAAAAGAACTAAAGAGGATCAAACAGAATCTCTTTCTTAGCCATCAGAAGAAAGAAGTACTGTATAAGTACTTACATATTAGTATTATATAAATCAGACATTCATGTCAGTCTTGCCCCCTCTCATTTTTTGTTATGTTGAATATTTACACACCCTCTTCACAACTATGTACAACACATATGATCATCCGTAATATATGAATAGCCTACATATGCAAATCTAATTGCGCTATATATTTAACACTCTATAAAACATAGATGTTAACCACTGAAAGATAACTGTATGTGTATATACCTACAGACCTATAGTCAACATAAGCCCCATTTCATGCTGCTAATATACCCACAAAGACACACTTGCCAAGGCTTCAGATTTATCCATTAGGTCAGATATTACCTTGTTAAGAGCTTTCAATTGGTTACAAATGTCTTTTTGTTTGTCCCCCAGGATACTATGGGGACGGTCTAAATGCCATCATTGTGTTTGCCGCCTGTTTTCTGCCAGACAGCGGTCGGGCGGATTACCACTATGTCATGGAAAATCTTTTCCTGTGAGTGATACTTGTGACAAAGTGCTTTGAGTTAATGTCTGTGGCATGTAATGGCAGATCGATCATCTTTAATTAAAGAAAATAGATGATGTAGAATATTCTAAGCCTTCAATGAAACATCAGTAAGGTTTCTGTCAAGGAATGTTGCTCAAGGGGCTAAAACCTTTAAAGGAATTCTTTTGTGGGTAGACTAGACTGAAAATAAAATGAACAGAATTTTGCTTGCATTTTAAAATTCTGTAATATTTCCTTTGGGCAAAGTATTATTTTTGTTCCTTCATAACATGTTCTTAGTCAGCTAAGACTGACTATAACCTGACTTCATTAATATCTGCCCTTATTTAACCTGAGTTACCCTTAGTATTTGATACCATTGTTGACAGTTTTGAAAGTCAGGATTCTTTCTAACCCATACATTTTTCTAGTGTACCTACATTTAAAAGATAGCATACCGATAAATGAGTAATACTCTCAAAGGAATACTCTTAGGTGACTGTATTCTCCCCAAGGTAAAGAGGTAATATGCACAACCATTCTTAAATTTCATAAACCCTGTACTTTTAATGTTATGTAATTATGGTGTCAATAGGATGAAATATTTTATGTGGGAACTGAAAACATTCCTTTTCCTTCCTGTGATCAGATATGTAATAAGTACTTTAGAGTTGATGGTAGCTGAAGACTATATGATTGTGTACTTGAATGGTGCAACCCCAAGACGGAAGATGCCAGGGCTAGGCTGGATGAAGAAATGCTACCAGATGATTGACAGACGGTATGTGTGCTATGTTATTTAATCACTATTTTGATTTTGGTAAACTGAAGGCTAAACAACCACATGGTATACTGTTATTATCTTCATTATACACAAGAAGAAACCAAGTCTCAATAAGATCAAATAAATTGTCTAAGTTGCTATTAAGCATGTATTCCTTTCGAAATAGTAAAGGTAATGCTGGTGAGAATAAACAAAAACACACCATGTGGGTTATAGATTCATGCACTCTAAGAACATAACCATTCTATTTTACATTTATTTCTATGAGAAAATGAGGTTTGAATCATACAAGTTTCAAATTACATCTCAAAAAGCATTCTCATAATTAATCATGGCCATTCTATATCTTCCTACCAGGTAATAGTAACTTGCATAGAACTCCCTAATATATATATATACACACACATTTTTGTTGTTGTTGTTGGAGTCTCACTAGTGTCACCTAGGCTGGAGTGCAGTGGCATGATCTTGGATCATGGCAACCTCCTACTTCCGGGTTCAAGCGATTCTCCTGTCTAAGCCTGCTGAGTAGCAAGAACTTACAGGCAGGCACCATCACGCCCAGCTAATTTTTTTATTTTTATTTTTAGTAGAGACAGGGTTTCAACATGTTGGCCAGACTGATTTTGAACTCCTGACCTCAGGTGATCCGCCTGCCTTGGCCTCCCAAAGTGCTGGAATTACAGGCATGAGCCACCACGCCAGACTTAAATTATATATATTCTTATTTAGGAATATGTTTTATGCTTTAATTCCCACTGAAAATGGGTTAAGAGTAATGTATTTTTTCTTTTTTCAAAATAGGTTGAGGAAGAATTTGAAATCATTCATCATTGTTCATCCATCTTGGTTCATCAGAACAATCCTTGCTGTGACACGACCTTTTATAAGGTATAGTTAATATTGTCATAAAATAAAAGTACTACTAGTAGTTTTTAAAAAATATGTGCTTATTGTCCTAAAAACAAGAATTCATAAACTAAGAGTACCCAGGGAAATATATTTGTCTCTGTCTTTCCTAGAAAGGTGCTTTGGATTATTCATCAAGCATCCCTAATTAAGAGAGAAAATGCTTTCATTATGAATATTTCCCCCAGATCGTTATAAAACATGACCTCTAAATTGCTTGCTATAAACATGGAAGATGAAGTGGTGGGATTTTCATACCACATTAGAAAGGGGAATAGATAATACATTTAAAGTGATATGTTATTATGTAAAGAATAGAAAGGTAGAGTAATATGACGATGGAAAATAAAGATGAGTCAAGGCAGAAACAGAAGCCATATCATGTCTCAACTGTGCCATTTCTTCTGAACAGACCTATGCAATGTTTGTATAACTACCAAAGTTACATAGCGTCTGGGCAGCCATTTTGAGAGCTGTGTTTTGATCACCCATGAGGAGTCTTGGTTTCAATTCAGTGAATATTTATTTGTCACTTATTTTATGTTAGGTTCTGTATAACCTTACATCTTGGTGATGCAAAATAAAGTAAGATATGGTTCTTTTTTTTTTTTTTTTTTTTTTGAGACGGAGTCTCGCTCTGTCACCCAGGCTGGAGTGCGGTGGCCGGATCTCAGCTCACTGCAAGCTCCGCCTCCTGGGTTTACGCCATTCTCCTGCCTCAGCCTCCCGAGTAGCTGGGACTACAGGCGCTCGCCACCTCGCCCGGCTAGTTTTTTGTATTTTTTTTAGTAGAGACGGGGTTTCACCGTGTTAGCCAGGATGGTCTCGATCTCCTGACCTCGTGATCCGCCCGTCTCGGCCTCCCAAAGTGCTGGGATTACAGGCTTGAGCCACCGCGCCCAGCCAGATATGGTTCTTAATATAGTAAGACTTCAAATAGTTAAATGAAAGGAATAGTATTATTTTCTAGACAGCTTTAAAAACAGAATAAAATCTTGCCCACCATCAGGATACAGATTAGATTAATTGAAATTTTCCCATCTTAAAGTTATTAATGAATTTCTTTTAAAACTTCTGATAACTTTGCTTCTGGGGAAAAAAAAAACTTTAAAATCTTTTTTGTGTGTGCATAGATTTTACTTTAGCTTCCAGATTAGACCTTTCTTGTTCAGTATTTACTTATATTTATTTATTATTCTTATTCCCCACTTCCAATTGCTAATGCTGAAAAATGTACCTGAAAATCAAGAATTGTTAAAATGGTAAACTGAATCTAAACAATCACATGATATACTGTTACTATCTTCATTATACACAAGAAGAAACCACTGAAGACACAAAGTTATCAGAATTTTTAGAAGAAATTCATTAATAACTTTAAGATAGAAAAATTTCAATTAATCTTCAACTGAGTAGCAAGATTCACCCTAGTTTCCCTCTGTTTACCATACTATGTTAAATTGCTTTTAAAAATATTATGACCGGCCGGGCGCGGTGGCTCAAGCCTGTAATCCCAGCACTTTGGGAGGCCGAGACAGGCGGATCACGAGGTCAGGAGATCGAGACCATCCTGGCTAACACAGTGAAACCCCGTCTCTACTAAAAATACAAAAACTTAGCCGGGCGAGGTGGCAGGCGCCTGTAGTCCCAGCTACTCGGGAGGCTGAGGCAGGAGAATGGCGTGAACCCGGGAGGCGGAGCTTGCAGTGAGCTGAGATCCGGCCACTGCACTCCAGCCTGGGTGACAGAGCGAGACTCCGTCTCAAAAAAAAAAAAAAAAAAAAAAAAAAAAATTATGACCAGCTGAGCAGGGTAGCCCACACCTGTAATCCCAGCACTTTGGGAGGCCTCGGTGGGCAGATCACTTGAGGTCAGGAGTTTGAGACCAGCCTGGCCAACATGTGAAACCCCATCTCTACTAAAAACACAAAAATTTAGCCAGGCATGGTGGTGGCGCGCCTGTAGTCCCAGCTACTAGGAAGGCTGAGGCAGGAGAATCGCTTGAATCTGGGAGGTGGAGGTTGCAGTGAGGCAAGATCACACCACTGCACTCTAGCGTGGACAACAGAGTGAGACTGTGCCTCCAAAAAACAAACAAACAAAAAAATTTAGACCTATTTAAGGTATACAAAGAGCCACTTATTTTAATTAATTTCAGGAAATGCTTTAACTAGGGAGTAGGAATCAATGTATGCTGGTAAGCTTTCAAAAAGTGTAATGGGTAGAAAGTTTAATGGGTATAATCAGTAATTATGATTCATCAAAGTTTGCTTAATAATTCAGCACTTATAAAACAAAGGTTTTTTCTTAAGTAATGTTAAAAGATAAACCTTAGACAAATCAATCAGTTTATTACAGCAAAAAATGATTTATGAACCCAGCATCACTTAGAACCAGGAGAGGTTCAGAGAGCTCCACCCAGCAAAGTGGGCAGACAGTATTTGTCCAGAGAAAAGCAAGATGACGTATAGAAATAGCTTGATCGGGTACAGCTCAGCAGTTATCTTATTTGGGTACAGTATGATGAAGCATTTGCCTTATATGGTCATGGTCTGATCATTTGGCAACCTGTGATTGCTGAAGCTCAGCTGCTTTGATTGCCTGAGACTCAGCTAGTCTTTGCAAAAATATACTCGTTAAGTTAGGTTGGAATTTTATTTACATACTATGTTAGGTTGTAGTTAGCTACCTAGGAACTCAAACTACAGAGAAAGCCTTAAGCCAAATGTGGTTTAACAATAAGAAAACATTTGTTACTGTAAGGATATTAAAAATTATTATAATTCAACACTACTTATGGAAGGGAGTTTCAAGATAATAACAACAACAGTAATAATGAAATTATAGCAATAGTGTTGTGGTAAATTATGACTAATAATGGCTTAATTTATTGAGTGCTTATTTGCATTACCTCATTTAAGCTAATGACAGTCCTCCGAAGTAGATACTTTTTTGTTTGTTTTTTGTTTTGAGACACGATCTCCTTCAGTCACCCAGGCTGGAGTGCAGTGGCACGATCATGGCTCATTGCAGCCTCAGACTCCTGGGATTAAGCAATCCTCCCACCTCAGCCTCCCGAGTAGCTGGGACTATAGGTGTATGCCACCACACTCAGCTAAATTTTTTTATTTTTTTGTAGAGACGGGGTCTCATTGTGTTGTCCAAGCTGATCTCAAACTCCTAGGCTCAAGCAATATGCCTGCCTTGGCCCAAAGTGCTGAAATTACAGGCATGAGCCACCACGCCCAGCCTGAAGCAGATCCTGTTTACTGTTTCCATTGTATAGGAAAAACTGCTGAGGTTCAGGGAGGTCACATAAATTGTCTAAAGCAGGAACCAGCAAACATTGTTTATAAAGATTCAACTAGTAAATAGTTTAGGTTTCACTGGCCCTATGGTTTCAGTCACAACTACTCAACTCTGCCATTATAGAGTAAAAGCAGCCATAGGAAACATGCAAACAAGTAAGTGGCCGTGTTCTGATGAAACTTTTTTTTTGAGGCAGTCTCAGTCTGTTGCCCAGGCTGGAGTGCTGTGGTGCGATCTTGGCTCACTGCAACCTCTGCCTCCCCGTGCTCAAGCGATTCTCCCACCTAAGCCTCCCAAGTAGCTGGGACCACAGATATGTACCACCACACTTGGCTAAGTTTTTGTGTTTTTGGCAGAGACAGGGTTTGCCGTGTTTCCCAGGCTGGTCTTGAACTACTGAGATCAGGTGATCTGCCCACCTTGGCCTCCCAAAGTGCTGGGGTTACAGGCATGAGCCACCATGCCTGGCCTCTGATGAAACTTCATTTATGAAAACCGAAATTGAATTTCCTATGATTTTTATGTCGTAAAATATTCTCTTTTTGTTGAGAGGGAGTCTCACTCTGTTGCCCAGGCTAGAGTGCACTGGCATGATCTTGGCTCACTGCAGCCTCCACCTCCTGGGTCAAGTAATTCTCCTGCCTCCGCCTCCCAGGTAGCTGGGAATACAGGCATGCACCACCACACCTGGCTAATTTTTGTATTTTTAGTAGAGACGGGGTTTTACCACATTGGCCAGGCTGGTCTTGAACTCCTGACCTCAAGTGATCTGCCTGCCTCAGCATCCCAAAGTGCTGGGATTACAGGTGTGAGCCACTGCGCCCAGCCAACATCATAAAATATTTTTATTTTTACATTTTTTTAACTACTTAAAAAAACATAGAAATCATTCTTCACTCAGGGGCTATAAAAAACAGACAGGCTTATGCCTGTAATTCCAGCTACTCAGGAAGCTGAAGCAAGAGGATTGCCTGAGGCAAGGAGTTCAAGATCAGCCTGGGCAACATAGGGAGACCCTGTCTCTGGAATTTTTTTTTTTTTTAATTTAGCTAGGCACGGTAGCATGTGCCTATAGTCCTAGCTACTCCAGGGGCGGAGACAGGAGGATCACCTGAGCCCAGGAGTTCAAGGCTGTAGTGAGCTATGATCATGCCACCGCACTCCAGCCTGGGTGACAGAGTGAGTCCTAGCCTCTAAAAAAAATAAAAAAAAACTGACAGCAAGCTGACTTCAGCCACGAGCTATCATTTACCAACCTCAGGTCTAGGGTGACACAGCCTATAAATGATAGGCTCAGTCTTTGAAACCAATTGTCTGCCCAATTCTAAAGAAAACATACATCAACTACTGAATAATTGTATTCTACAGTTTCATCATGTAGGAACCCCTCTAAAGATCCTCCTTTGAATCCATTTACTTCAGTGTTAGCAACTTGTAGATCTGAAAAAGGAGACCACTAAGATGTATGATAGGTCTTTTCTCTACTAAAGGGTAGCATTTATGATAGAGGTATATGGCAAGTTCATTTTAAACAATGAGTTATTGGCAGTTTGGAGATTTCTCAAAGAACTTGAAACAGAACTGCCGTTCGACCTGCCAGTCCCATTACTGGGTAAATACCCAAAGGAATATAAATCATTCTACCATAAAGACACATGCACATGTGTGTTCATCACAGCACTATTCACAATAGCAAAGACATGGAATCAACCTCGATGCCCATTAACAATGGATTGGATAAAACAAATGCAGAACATATACACTATATAGCAGCCATGAAAAAGAACTAAATCACTTCCTATGCAAAAACATGGATGGAGCTGGAGGTCATTATCATGAGTTATCCTAAGAAAACCAAATACCGCATGTTCTCACTTATAAGTGGGAACTGTACATTGAGTACACTCCAGACACCAGGGACTACTAGAGGGTGGAGGGTGGAGGAGAGAGAGGATCAAAAAACTACCTGTCAGCTACTATGCTCATTAACTAGGTGACAAAATAATCTGTACATCAAACCACTGTGACATGCAGTTTACCCATGTAAAAACCTGCACATGTACCCCTAAAACTAAAATAAAAGTTGGGGAAAAAAAATGAGTAATTTGTCTGTGCCAAGCACTGGATTGGGAAATAACAAGGCTCAATTGCTGTCCTTAAGGAGCACAAAGCCTTAAGCAGACATGGGCAGACAAGTGAACAGTTACAATACAGCATACAATTGTACTTTGAGGAGGTGATGACTCAAGGTGAGGGTGAGTTTGGGGGTATACCTGGTAGAGAGAGAAAGCTGATTATCTGCTTCAAGAGAGGCTTTGCAGAAGGAGGCCTTCCCTCGAGGTGAGTTTTGAAGGACTAGTAGGATTGGCCAGCTGAAATTAGGGGGAAGAGCAATCCAGGTTGAGGAAACAGGTAGACAAAACGCCAGATATAAATACATCAATAAAGAGAGAACATGGCATGTTCAGAGAACTGTAAAATTCCAGTGAATATTAACATTGGAGCTGGAGGTTTTCCATTTGCATGACTTCTTCTCCCTCTCAGTCACCCACTCAGTCTTTTATCAAAACCTTATTTTGCTCAACAACTCCACAGGAAGAAAAAGGCTTACTATAGCATATCACCGGTAATGTGTGTTGACATTCCTCCTATCAGGAGGAACAGAAGCTACTGTATGGAGAGGATGGTTGTTCACAGGTCTCTTGGACCCAGGGCCAAAATTGGAAGTAAAGTGTTAAAGATAGATGGATAGAGGAAACACCTCAAAAAAGCTTCTTACTAGAATGCACAGTAGTTGAACACAAGGCAGTACGGATGGTGCACAGCTCAGCAAGATCCCAGTAGACTACACAGACCTTTTCAGTTGAAACCATTCAAGAACATTAGACCCTTGATCAAGTTCTCTTTCAAGTGGAATGATACACTTTTTAAATTAGTTTGCCATTGCACAAGTAATAAGAAAATGCACTCTTGAGAAATGCATCCTATCATTACAGATAAGACCAAGTTCTTCCTTTAACAATTACCAATTCCTCTTCCTAATCCCCTTCCCCAGAGGCAAACTCCTTTATCAGTTTCATTGGTATCCTTCCAAGTTGTTCTCTGTGCATTTACACATATCTAAAACGAACACATTTAGATGAAAGCTGTTAGTAATTTAAATCCAGTTATTGGAACATATATTTGAATGTTGGTTCATCTAGAATAAATGTTCAACCTAAAACTTTAAAAACGACAACATTTTAAAAAATAAAACAAAGTTTTAAAAAGTGAGTTTACATATGTTTTTTTTAGTATCATCAAACTTGGTAGATTCTGAAAGAACTAATGATAAGATTTTTGTTTGTTACAAACAAACAAGTAAACAGAGACAAACGAGTCATACAGCAGTGATTATTCAGAGTAGCAGGAAACACTGGGAGGCCGCACAATGTATGGCCAAGAGTGTGAATGCCAAAGTCAGACTGCCCAGATTAGTACAGGCTCTGCCATTTACTAATGGTGAGACTTTGGGCAAACACTTAACTGCTCCGTGTCTGTTTCCTTATCTTTGAAAAGTGGATGATAATAGTGTCTACCTCACTAGGCTGTAATAAGAAATACATGCATTCATATGTGTAAACCACTTAAAACAGCATTTGGCCAAATACTGCACGATCTCACTTATATGTAGCATCTAAAAAAGTTGAGCTTACAGAAGTAGAGAGTGGAATGGTCGTTACCAGAAGCTAGGGGTTGGGAGTGAGGAGATGTTGGTCAAAGACCACAAAATTTTGGTTAGGAGGCATACGTTCCAGAGCCCTATTGAACAATATGGTGACCATAGCTAATAACAATGTGTTGCATCCTAGAAAATTGCTAAGTGAGGAGATTTTCAGTATCAAAAAAAAGCATGTGAAGTAATACATATGTTAATTAGCTCAGTTTAGCTATTCCACAATATATACATATTTCAAAACATCGTGTTAAACATTTTTACATGGCAATTTAAAAAATAAATTTAAAAAACAAAACAAAACACCACCACCAACAACAACAAAACAGTGTCTGGTACATTGTAACTCATCAAATAATGTTAGCCTCTTTTCTTAGTAAGAGTGCTGGGGCAAGATGTTAAGTGTATCAGGATTTTCAAGAAAAGGCAATAGTCTTGGGATGGATAAGGTAGTGACTAATGATACATATTTTTTCTTTTTTTTTTTTTTAGTTCAAAATTCAGCAGTAAAATTAAATATGTCAATAGCTTATCAGAACTCAGTGGGCTGATCCCAATGGATTGCATCCACATTCCAGAGAGCATCATCAAGTAAGTCCTGACGGTTTCAGAGATTTAAGAAATAGTACTAGTTTGAGGCTGGGTGTGGTGGCTCATACCTGTAATCCTAGCACTCTGGGAGGCCAAGTGGTAGAATCAGTTGAGCCCAGGAGTTTGCCATCAGCCTGGACAACATAGCAAAACCCCGTTCCTACTAAAAATACAAAAATTAGCCAGGCATGGTGGCATTTGCCTGTAGTCCAGCTATTCAGGAGGCTGAGATAGGATGATCACCTGAGCCTGGGAAGTCAAGGCTGCAGTGAGCCGTGATGATGCCACTGTACTCCAGCCTGGGCAATGGGAGTGAGACCTTGTATCAAAAAAAAAAAAAAAAAAAAAAGTGTATGTTTGGAGAAGTGGGTTGGTAAAGAGGTCAGTTCTGGAACAGAGGGGAAATGGCATTATCTTATTTTTAAAACAATATTAAATATCCTCCAATAAATATAATTTTTTCCTATAATCTGTAGATAATTGTTGTGTTCTTTCAGATCCTCTTTCACATAATATTTTCCTGGGGTTATTTGATTATTGTTCATTTTTACCTTGAACTTTACTACCACTTTGGAAAAAGTAACAGCTACACTGGTTAACTGGTATACTGTCTCTACTGGTTAAGAGTATATCAGTTTCTTGTGTCTCCCATTCTGCACAGACACAAGATGGTCTTAGTATAGCTTGGATTTCTTTATTGTCTTATACAAAGTCATTTATCTGCATAACCCTAGGAAAATAGAAAGGATTCGCTCTCTGTTTTTTCTAAACCTTTTTTGTTTGTCCAGATTAAGTAGAGGGCATTTGCCCAGTGGTGGGTGAGGCGGTGAGGAATGGTTTTCTTGCTCAGTAGAGGGTAACGCAGTATCAGCGTCGGCATCCTGCATGGGTACTGAAGCTCTCAGGATGATGCTACAAAAATTAGGATAAAATTTAACAAAATAAATACTTGGAGCTGGGATTGTAAAACAGGGATATGGGAGAATGAACACTTGCATCTGGTACATTGTTGCAAAGAACGGTTGTTTTCTGTGTGTCATGTTTTTTTGTGGGTTTGTTTGTTTTTTTTTTTTTTTTTGTCCACTGTATCTGAATCGTTAGCTCTTTTCATTTCATTTGAGTGGAGAGGGATTTAACCATTAGCTCAAAGAAAACAGCCAAGTGTCATTCATCTTCCTCCATAAAATGGATGGCAAAATGTACCTCTCATTTGGGATTCCAAAAGAGTCCTCTCACTTTAAAAAAGAAGTTAATTAATTAAAAAGACCCAGCCTAGAAATTGGAAGGAAAGAATTCTCATGTAATATGTGTCTATGATATGCCAAGCATAGCAGTACTCTATTTATATCATTTATTTGACTCCCATAGTAAACCCCTGTTTTACAGATGCAGGGGAGATAACTTAGTAAGAAGTTACTTAGGCACAGCGTAAGTAGGAACCAGGAAGAGATGGAACTGGAATTCAAATTCAAGTCAGCCTGGCACCAAAATTCCCATGTTCTTTTCTAGGAGATTCCTTTACCTCCCTTAGAGTATCCTTCAAAATTCAAAGCTCAGAAGTAGATGCATTTGGTTTTCCTACATAAGCAGTATCGGGCATGAACACAGGATACTGACTGGGCTTCCAGTGGTCATTTGGCTCACTGAATCAAATGGAGTGTTCATAAGATCCTAATGATGGCTTCTACCCTCATTAGCTTCATAGCGTTTCCACAACCAGCACACCTCATAGCTCTGGGCTGCTGCCTCTAAAAGGTGTACTCCATTTTCAAAACCCACTTCTACTCTTTAAATTTAAAAAGTATGGAGGCAGGGAGGGATGCCTCACACCTGTAATCTTAGTACTTTGGGAGTCTGAGGAGGGTGGATAGCTTGAGTTCAGGAGTTCAAGACCAGCCTGGGCAACATGGTGATACCCTGTCTCTATGAAAAAAAAACACAGAAATTAGCCGGGTGTGGTAGCATGCACCTGTAGTCCTAGCTACTCAGGAGATTAAAGTAGGAGGATTGCTTGAGCCTGGGAGGCGGAAATTGCAGTGAGCCGAGACCGCACCACTGCCCTCAAGCCTGGGTGACAGAGTGAGACCCTGTCTCCAAATAGAAAAAAAAAAAAAAGGAAGATGACAAGGACATTCTCCCTTCTAGTGGAATTGAGCATTGACCACTTTCCAAGTAAACACAGTAGCACTTCCATGGTGTGGCAGAGGCAATAGAATGAAAAGTGAATGGGCTTTAGACACTTAGATTTGAACCTTCCCTCCAACCTCTCAATGTCTCTGAGACTTCAAGTCATCTATTAAAATGATTAATTAATTAAAATATTCTGAGTCTAAGCTTCAGCATCTGTAAAGTAAGGAAGTAAGTTGCACTTCCTGGAATGGTCCTGAGGGTTGAATGCAAACGGTACACAAAGCACTTTCAAAGCCTCCCAGCACAGAGTTTGCAATCCAGAATCTTATTTATCGTTACGCTTGTTGCTTTTAGAGACTGTCTGTCATAGGGCAAAGTTCAAGTGAGAAGTTAAGTATAGCCAGGACATTTTTTATTCATCTGCACACATCAGTTTTCAAGGGCTCCATTTGGGAGAAGTTGCTTCAGGAAGGGTTCTATTTGGAAAAATTTTTTTCTGGAGGAAGAAATGTACCACCATTCACATGCTGCCCACATGTCCGCGTGTTCTGTTTTCTGTAATTATCTCCTTGGGATGTCCTTTCTGCCATTTCTGTTACTGACCTTCATTGCCCCAATTTAATGTTATGCAAATTTCAAATGGATACAAGCCATGGCTCCTTTTTATCACTGAATAACATTCAAAGGATCTAATCTCAGCCACTCCCAAGACCAGTACTCAGCTGAGATGGCGCCTGTCATCAAAGGGCTTAAATGAAAGAAAAACTTGCTCAACCTAGAACCAAATTTATAATCATTGATCACAGTTGATTCTCATTATTTGTGGCAGTTATGTTCTATAAAGTCACTGCAAACACTTACTTAGGGAAAACTGAAAACGTGTTCCAAGGGAAAATACAGGGTGTTTGGTTCCTGCAAGCCCCTGGTCACAATGTTTTCATCAATCAGTCAATCATTCAATCAATATATAAACTTGTTTTATGTGTGTTTCTGTTTAAATGAACCTTACTTAGTATACATTGTTGATTTAGAACATTGAACTCATGGCCAACAGTATTGTAACTTGTGCATAAACGAAGCTTATCTAACACACATATTTTCTTCATAAGGCACATCACAGCCTTCCTGCACTTAGGAATACTAGACAGTATTTCAGCAATCTTGAAGCAATGAACAAAAACAAAAAAAAACAAAAATAATTGCAAAACAATAAACAAATCTATAAGGCACATCACAGCCTGCACTTGGGAATACTAGACAGTATTTCAGCACTATGCTTGGAAGCCAATTTGAACAGCAAAATCACCAAGGAAAAATACAAAAATGAGAAAAAAAAAAGCACTAAATAGGTTGTGGAAAGGACAGTTGTTTACAGTATGAAACAAGAAGACAGAGGATCACACATTGCCAGGTGGCAACATGAACATTGGGCAACTCAGATTTTTCAGCACTCTGCACATGTCCACAAGTGACCCAAAAAGTACCTTGTATTGATTTCATGGTTATAAATACATGTTAGTAAATAGGCAAATTTACAAATATAGAATCTGCAAATAATGAGGATTGACTGCATATATTTATCAATTATAAACATTGATTGTTATCTAATGAAAATAAGATGTCTCCCAAATGCCAATTTTATTATTACCGTCAGACATCACCTAATGACAGAGACATGTTCCGAGATGTGCGTCTTTAGATGCTTTCATCATTGTGCAGATATCATAGAGTGAACTTATACAAACCTAGATGGCAGAGCCCCCTACACCACCCAGGCTATCTGCTATAACCTGTTGCTCCTAGGCTCCACACCTGCACAGCGTGTTACTGTACTGAATACTGCAGGCAGCTGTAACACAGTGGTAAGTATTCGTGTACCTAAACATAGATAAGATACTGTCAAATTATGGTATTCTAATTTATGGAACCACTACCATATAGGTGGTCCATCGCTGACCCAAATGACGTTACCTAGTGCATGACTGTATCTGGATAGGCGTTTTCTCTCATGATTTGACTGTCGTTTAAATCATTTACTTGTCGTTTTTTCCATCTGCTCATTTTCCTTATGGCACTCGTTTTTTATTTCGTAAGGTACGATGAAGAGAGATCTTATAAGAGAAGTGTGAGGTAAAATCTCCTGATCTCCTATTCACGCTGGATCCTGTGTGTGTACATCAGTGTCTTACTTGTGGGTGACCTCAACAAGCTACCAGAGCGAGAGGTCACTGTATCAGTCTTTTGTATGCCATTTCCAGTCTTTGTCCTGTGTGTAAAGCTGTTGAGGTCAACCTGATTTGCAACTGAAACCTACTAAACCAGATACATCCCTGACTTGGCCCAGGCTGCAAGCTCATTTGAACTGTACCCACCAGACTGACGTGAATGTTTTCAGCTCTATTCAGCCAGCATGTTTCTGATCCCTTTGCAACTTACACCTACCGTGTATGAAGGAATTTGCAAAGTAAATGTACATAAACACTGAATGGGAGGAAATGACAGTATATTTAATGGAAGGAGTGCGTCTCAGGACTCCAGAAGACAGTTTTGAAAAGCACATATGCACCACTTTTGTTTGGCTCTGCTTTGCTGAGTGTCTCATGCTCTGCTTGCTTCTTTTTTGTTTCTTTTCCGCACCAATAATTTTTGCTCCTGCAGACTGGATGAAGAACTGAGGGAAGCTTCAGAAGCAGCTAAGTAAGACTTGGTTTTCATTTAGTGGCTGGCGTGATGTTGGCTTGCATTTCAGAACTGAATTGGGAAAATCTGCATGCCTGGTGTTTTATTCCTGCTTCCTGATAATAATGCACTTTAGAAATTCTGTTTCTCTGATGATAGATGTAATCTCTATTATTCTTACTACTGTCTATTTTTCCCCATGATCTTGGTTATACTGAGGAATGCATTTGTCACTATAGTTGTTGTTTTTTAATATACACGCAATTCTAGGCACCACAACAGAAGAGCACATCACAGGCACCGCGACGTATAGTGTGACATCAAGATGATCATTAGGTTTTCAGGCAACAGAACCTCACTAATTCATACCAATGGGGAGGAATAATAGCACATCGAAATTTGGAAGATTTTTGTAGAATCAATTTCATGGCCTTCTATGAGTTAAAACAACACCACCTTACTTAATGACTTTGGAAATATTGCTTAACTAACATCCTCTGAGCTATTTTGATGAATAGAAAAACAAAAGTCATTGCCCACTATTGTTGAAGTATGATTCTCAAAAAGGCAAAATTATAACTCTCATGCAAATATAAAATGAACACATGCCAATGATTTTATTCAACTAATTATTTAATGCAGGAACCACTAAGGTGTTAAAGCCAGTTCAAAGAACATTTGAGCAGCTAGATATCTATAGATAATTTACAGAAGAGTATTTGGATAAGATTGTTGGGTTAGATACAAAACTGGTTAATAAACAACAGGGCAATAAACTGTAATATTGAGGTTGTCTTTTCCACTGGACAGAAATTATTTGCATCTCTGCTGGACAAAAACTACAAGTTAACCTCTGCCCCTATTGAGTTGTAAAATAGCCCAACCAATAGAAAGTCAGCCCCCTGTAATCCCAGCACTTTGGGAGGCTGAGGTGGGCGGATCACGAGGTCAGCAGATCGAGACCATCCTGGCCAACATGGTGAAACCCTGTCTCTACTAAAAATACAAAAATTAGCTGGGCGTGGTGGCACGCACCTGTAGTCCCAGCTACTCAGGAGGCTGAGGCAGGAGAATCGCTTGAACCCGGGAGGTGGAGGTTGCAGTGAGCCGAGATCATGCCACTGCACTCCAGCCTGGGGACAGAGTGAGACTCCATCTCAAAAAAAAAAAAAAATCCAGTTATTCTCTTTTCTCATTTCCAAGTTACAAAGACATTTTCTGATAATACATGTTAGATATAACCAAATACTATTTGAAAAGTTTGCTGTATTAAGTACATTTTCTTCCCCATTTTAAATGTTGCTTACACTGTTCATTTTTATAACCAGCTCCCATTTTAATAGACATTGCAAAAGCAGAAGGCCTGGACAATGTCCCAACAGCTATAAATTCTGAATAAATAATATCTAATAGACATTTTCTTCATAGTTGTAAATGCCAATTCCTCATTAAAACAATCAATTTAGACATTTTTCCCCTATGGTACATTTTTATTGTAAGTAACCTATATGATTATTTGCTTGTAGTGTGCCAATCTTTTGTGTTAAAAAATTAAAGGATAGGTTTTTGCTTTAGAAAGTTTAGCATTAGTGGAGTTTACTCTTATAATATTCTGATCTTCTCATTTTCTTTCAAGATAACTGACACCCAGTTAAACTAAAGAAACTCAAAACTGTGTAATTTTTTTATTCTAAAAAAAACTTCTTAGTCTTGATCCCACCTGTTACAAATAAGAAGTTGTTAAGTAAGGAAAATATTAGTTATCAAGGAACTGAGTGTTGGTGTAACATTCCTTTAGCATTTATCTGCACTCAAACTGCTTTGTGTCATGAGATTTCCTAGAGTGAGAACTCTCTGTGAGTTTTTCTTTCAGATTTATTTTTTCAGGATGATAACATATTTATGAAATTAAAGTGCTATTTTCAAGACAAAAGATGGGGGGAGAGAACATCAATGATTTTTCAGACAAACCTATCATAAAGTCATATTGTCATGTTTCTTTCATTATTACCATGAAATCTTGCTTCTTTTAATAGATGTTTTTCCCTCTATATTTATACTATTTCTGCTTAGCTGCCACAGTCAAATGATTATTGTTTTTGGATAGTTTTGTAGCTTTCTCTTTTTTCTCTCACATCCACTATTTTGTTCTCTTCCTTACCCCTACCAACCCTCTCCCGACGTGTTTAAATAGCTCAGATGGTCCTGAGACATTTTGATCTCCCTCCTAACGGAAGCACTATGCTCATGCCTAGTACATAGTAGATGCTCAGTAAATTTATGCTGCATAAATTAATGAATTTGCATCAGAGTCAGTTCATTGCTGTTGAGCAGTGGGTTCTCAAACTTTATTGTGCATTACAATGACCTGGAGCACATGGTAAAACAGAAAATTCCGTGTCTCACTCCCAAAGTTTCTGATTCATCAGCTCTAGAGTGGAGCCTAAAAAGCTGCACTTCTGGCCAGGTGAGGTTGCTCGTCCCTGTAACCCCAGGACTTTGGGAGGCTGAGAGGGGAGGATTGCTTGAGGCCAGGAGTTAGAGACCAGCCTGGGCAACATAGCAGGACCCCATCTCTACAAACAAAATTTTTTTAATTAGCCAGGTATAGTGATATGTGCCTGCAGTCGCAGCTACATGGGAGGCTGAGGTGGGAGGATCCACTGAGCCGTGGAATTCAAGGTTGCAGTGAGTTAATTGATCTTACCAGTACACTCCAGCCTGGGCAACAGAGTGAGACCCTGTCTCAAGGAAAAAAAGTCTGCATTTCTAACAAGTTCCCAGTGATGCTGCTGCTGCTGCTGGTCTCAGGACCCAGCGTTGAGAACCACTGCTTAAAAGTCAAGGGCCAAATAAAAATAATCAAATTTGTTTTAGAAGTGTATGCTCTTGCTTTGGATTCAGCAGGTAAGCCATCTGCCTGAAGAATCCTCCCTCTAGGATCTTTTGATCCTACCTTTTTGATGGTAACATCACATGTATGAGAAATTGAAATATATTTGCACATTTGAAAATGTGCACAGAGAAAGAATTCTCCTCTGTTGACCCCGGTGATTGGAATGCCTTACAATCCCACCATCTCGGCTACCAGCAACATTTTTTCAACTACCTTTTAGCCTCTGAAGTAGCCCCTGAATTCTAGGAGAGACTCTATGATAAACGTGATCACTGCAGATCTAGTGCTAGAAGCCAGATATACCCAGGTTCTTCCTGTTGACTGATGTGCCCGACTTTCCACATGACTTGTTCAGAAAGCTGCTGGCTGGGTCTAACCAAAGGCAAACGTACACTTGGTCAGGCAACAAAACCTATCTGTCCACTGTTTTGCTTTACGCCCACTAGTGTTTCCCAACATTCTCCCTCTCCCCTCACACACACACACACACCCCACTCAAACTGCACCCCAACTCTAATTGATTTCAGAAGGTGATTTGCTCAGCCTGCCTTATCTTTTCTTTAAAACCTTACCTCTATACAGGAAAGAAAATATTATACTTCTGAAGGATAAATAGTATACATAGAACCATTCTTATTTCGAAAATTGGGAAGCATCCTTGTGTTGCCTTTGGAGTGACAATATTAAAGGGTTTGCAAATTGCTGTTTTCCTTGGGAGGATTACTTGAAATTAAAAAGCAGAAAAGCTGAGTTTGGAAGATTGCCCTTTCTTGATTCCATTCCAGCTTTGCTTTTTTTTTTTTTTTTTTTAAGCACACTGTCAACACTTACTTGACTGTCCTTGCTCATTGGAATTGCCAAATATTCCCTATGAAAATATCAGACCACCAGCAAGAAGGGTAGGGAGTGAGGAAGGAAGGTTGCTATCTCACCTGGGGAGATAGCCTTCTGTCGTTTTCAACCAAACACCTGACCTTCATCATGGATCCTCTTATGTGCAAACAGATAAATTAGCTTGTGAAATTATATTACAAAAAGGACAGCTGCACTTAAAAAGGATCATAGAAGCTCTTTAAATAGTGTTTGTTTGTCAATAATAAAATATTTATGGGAGGCTGGGCACAGTGGCTCACGCCTGTAATCCCAGCACTTTGGGAGGCCAAGGCAGGGGGATCGCTTGAGTTCAGGAGTTTGAGACCAGCCTGGGGCAACATGGCAAAACCCTACCCCTACCAAAAATATGAAAATTAGCCGGGCATGGAGGCCTGCAGCTGTAGTCCCAGCTACTTGGGTGGCTGAGGCAGGAGAATCGCTTGAACCTGGGAGGCAGAGGTTACAGTGAGCTGAGATAGCACCACTGCACTTCAGCCTAGGTGACAGAGCAAGACTCTGTCTCGAAAAAATAAAATATATGGGAGGGGTATAAAAGTTAAGGTGTAATGAGTATTCATCAAGAGTTAATAGAAAGCAAATTTGAAATTTGCTAACAGAGAAATCACACCAGTATGAAATATCAAAAACAGCTAATATTACACCAAAAAACATAAATTCCATAAAAACACTTTTATTTATTATTTTATAAGGTTACATTTGTTTTCTGAGCATACTCAGTTGAGGTAAATGGTAGGATCCATTTGTATCACCTGGACACAGCTCAGCTGTCTGGAGTGGTAAGTGTCCTGTTATTTCTGTAACAACAACGAGGGGAGCTAACGTTGACATTTTTTCTTTCAGTGTATTGGGAACTCCTCATTCTCGTGAAAACTGAAAATTAACTGTGTTCATGGGTGAATAAAATGAGGCCGCTTGAGAGGGATTTTCCTCTGTGTGTAAAGTATTTTATTATTTGGGGTACCAACACAATTTTGTAATATGTCCCCTGAATAAGACGAATTGAAAAGGCAGGGAAAAATGAGGACAGAAGAGACCACTGGAGGTATTTGGAGTTTTTAATCTTTGCTTTGTGTTTTTATATCATGGGCAATCACTTGTATTTCAAAACCGATGGTAAGGGTTACAGCTTAATCTCCTCATCTGTTCAGGTATGGATCGGTTCAGTATTAGTAATGGGACCACATTAAACAGTTTCAAATGCCTCAGATCTGTTGTGCTTTCACAGTGGTGACAGTGGGGAAATACTGACTGCTTCCTATTTTTTCCTTGCACTCAGAACTAGCTGCCTTTACAATGATCCAGAAATGTCTTCTATGGAGAAGGAGTAAGAATTCACCATCAATAGCAGCTATGTGGTTACTTGTAGTGTTGTATGGCTGGGCTCTGAAAGAAAACGCACTGAGGACTGGGTAAACCCTCTTTAGATGTTCAGCTTTCCTGTGCTCCGTTCCTGACATCAGAAACTCGAAGCAAATTTGCCAGCTTCACACCATTTCATTCACAATCACCCCTTAAATTTCTAAAGGACAACCTATGGACATGGCATTCTATTTTTCCAATCCAAAAATGAGAAGAAAATGATTAGGACCAGATGTAAGAACATTTGGGCAAGAGGAATGCAGTTCTGCTTTCTGAATGACATCATCTCTATTTTAATTAGTGGAAGTTGGAACTTCCATTTAATACTTTGGTGGATGGAGAGAAAATGTGCTTGTTTTGCAACGTCCAGGAGGAATTTGAGCCTGGATGAGACTGTAGGAATGATCTATTTGAAGGATTACCATCCTGTGAGAAGTAGAAATTGGACGTGTAGTGAGTTCTTACCACGTTCCAGACTGTAAAAAGCTTCACACGCAGTGTCTGATTTTAATCCTCAGAATAAGTTTATGAGGTGCATTTCACAGATGAGGAAAGAGAGGCATAGAGAGACGATCTGGCCAGTCCACTGTTTTACAGCTGTAAAAATGGCCCGGAGCTGGAATTTGGACCTTGGCAGTATAGCTCCAGGACAATGGTTTTTAAATCAGAAAGAGGTGATCTTAATGCTAGATGGGTGTACCACCTCCGATTTAATGAAAGACAAAACTACTCACCTAAGAGAACAGAGTGAATTAGTGGCCAAGTCAGTTTCAGGGAATAAACTGTGGTCACCAACAAACTTTCAGAGAGAACTTGGTCATCCAACAGGGAGCTTCTAATTTGGTTTGAGTTGTGGAGAATTTAACCTTGTCCTTGTTCCTAGGAATCAGGAAGCAGAGGGAAAAATCAATTTTAAATGTGTCTCGTCTCTATTGCCACTTTTTGCTGTCTTTGGACCTCCTTTCCGTTGAAGTCCAAAAGGAAGCTGGAAAATTAGAGTGAAATAGCTCCACATTTGCCATGTTGACCTTGCAGCTTAGAGGAAGTTTAGGCACAAAAACTCCAGAGACAGTCCCAACTGAAAAAGTGCACAAAGAACAAAGACTGGGCCAATTCTGGATGCATGCCTATGAGTTAGCCCTGCTCTGCAAGGAACATTTATTTTTTCTAAATAAAAATTTTAAAAAAGAACAAAGACTATAGAGAGACTTTTGAAATCACACAGCTATTTTTCCAAAGGTCACTGTCGTGATGAAGTTGTTGATGAAGACAACAACTGCTTCAAGGAAATTGGCACACGAAATTCTGCAAAGCAGTAATACCTCAATTCCCCAGCCCACGATAATTCTTTTTGCAACTATTTCTTCCCTCAGCAAAACAGCACCCCCTTGAGCAGTTAACAGAGCCCACAGTTAACAAGCAGCGTAGAGGGCACATGTGGAAGCCCAGCCAATGGCTGGCCCATTGCTGCTACATCTTAGGGCTTACCCACTTCTTTGCTTGCCTTGTCTGTCTTGCTCCTTATTCCTATGTAGGGCTGTTTTGGTTGGGAAGAGGGCAAGCGTTGCTTCCTGTCTGGGTTCATTCCAGGGCCGGGCATGGAGGAGGGAGGGATACTACAAATTGTTATTGTTACTTCCCACTTTTTAGAAGAACACATTCTTCTCAAGGCTTCCCTTTCTTCAGCCCTCTCTTTCCTGAGCCCTTAAGAGGCACATGATCACAGTGTGGATGATGAGATTGGGATAAGGGTCAAGAGTAGCCAAGAATTTTGTTTTTTTGTTTTTTTTTCTGACTTCCAGTCCTGGATTTCTGGCTTTCTTTGGTATTAGAATGAGGGCTTCATTTACTTCTGGCTCCTTTACACTGTAGGCCATCAAGGACAGAGGAGCGTTCTGTGTGGAAGCATTTTACACCTTCCAGAGCTAGTGTTGAACGAATACACTGCAGAATGGGCAAGGGTTCTTCCAGTGGGCTCGATCAGTCCAAGAATAAGATGGAGTGTGTGCTGTTACCATAGTGGTCTCTCATTTTTCTCAGAGACAGAAGAGAAGGTTATGCCGATTTTCTTCTTCTTACATAAAATGCAAATGTTTTTATTCATCATTAAACAATATTGTCAGACAGTTTGTAAGGAATCTCATTTAATACATGTTAGATACAAAAATGGCCTATTGTAAAATTATCAGAAGGTTGCTCTGTCTCAGGAAAAAAGTTGCCTATAGAAAACTAAGCCCATTTGCCCAAAGATTAAGAATATTCAATTCTGATTAAAAGTATTTTTTTCCCAAAAAGGATACTTTTTATTTCTTTATTTATTTTTAAATAGCCCTGGGTGCTTGTCTCCTTCCCTTTTAGGTTTGGATTTTATGAATTCCTTCATGTTCCAAAACTTGCAACATGCCTTTTTATATTTTTATATATTTGTTTAAAGTACCATGATCAAGGGTGGCTCTATTTGAGGAAGCTTAAATTAGCATCATTGTTAACAGCTTTGTTAACTCCACAACATTGCTGTTCTCTCAAATATTAACCTTCCAAGTGGTTTCCTGTATTTACTTATAAGAAAATCGTTCACTTTTGACTATTTCATTTCATAAACTGGGTAAACAGGTTCCAGTCTTTTAGCTTTTGGGTTAACAAAAGCTGAAGGGATGAATTAAATCCTAGAAGATTTACAAAAAAGTCAGTACGAGAAATAATCGAGATGGGCATCCTGGTGTAAGTGTTAGCTCAGGGGCCTGATGGTGAAACAAGGTGACCATGTTCTTTTAAGCTTCCAAGACTGTTTCAAATATTCTGACTCACTCTCGCAGTTTTTAGACAATGTGCCTCAAATTTTGGTTGAGTAAATATTCTCTTGGTCTATGGGAGAAAGTCAATCAACACCGTGAGAGAAAGAATCAAATTTCCGGTCACCAAATCAAACTTACTACAGATTTCTGGGAACAGGAAGGACATTTTAAAAGCAAAAACAAGACTTTTTTTAAATGACCTGTTTAGTAAAGGTGTGTAAGAAAAAGATCTCAGGGTCACAGTGGATAAAAAGAGGATACCTCTAAAGTAAACTCTGCAGGTAAGAAAACAAGTCAGAGGGCCTAAAAACTAGAAATATTCATAATGATTTGGCTTCCTAAAGGAAACACGATTGTTGCAAGTAGGCTAATAAAGCAATGAGCTATTTTCCCATTTAAAAAAAACACTGAGGGTCAGGCGCATTGGCTCACGCCTGTAATCCCAGCACTCTGGGAGGCCGAGGCAGGCGAATCATGAGGTCAAGAGATCGAGATCATCCTGGCCAACATGGTGAAACCCCGTGTCACTAAAAATACAAAAAATTAGCTGGGTTTGGTGGCATCCACCTGTAGTCCCAGCACTCAGGAGGCTGAGGCAGGAGAATTGCTTGAACCCAGGAGGCGGAGGTTGTAGTAAGCCAAGATCATACCACTGAACTCCAGCCTGGTGACAGAGCAAGACTCCGTCTCAAAAAAAACAAAAAATACAAAACAACAACAACAAAAACCACTGAGGTACTATTGCGGCTAGTCATAACAGACATTATGATATGTTCACTATGTACAATTGAAAATGCCTTAGACTTATTCTTTAGCAAGCTATGAGGTATGACTGTTCCATTTTACAGATACAGAAATGGGAACTTAGAGAAGGTAGGTGACTTGGCCAAGTCGCCACTGCTAATAAGTGATGGAATTGCTGACTATATTTCAAAGGAAAGATACTTTACTACTGTAAACTGGATGGGCAGGCAGTGTGAATTACCAGTGGCTTTATCTGCAAAACTTCTAGAATGAACACTGCTCAGCTGCTGCAAATTCCACAAGTAAAGCACAGTAACCTTTGCAACATGTAAGCTTATGGCTCAGGGGCAGAGATAAGCAAAATCCACAGATAAGTGCCAAATCACCCATTTCAAACTAATAATTTCTCTTTTATCACAACTGAAATTCTTCCTCTATTTACTGGCTTTTGGTTTTCTTCCTCTTGCGTGGATGCGGTAGGAAGTTGTGCTATGTTCACTAAGAGGCAGAAGAAAAACATGTGATTCAAGTAAGTTTTAGGCTTACTCCTCAGATATTTGGGAACCCATTTGACCTTCTGAAAAACAAGCTTTTCTTTAGTTATAAACATCCATCTCAGTAAGGTAGGCTAACCTCTTTCAGTCAAATCCTTTGGCTCCTAGAAAATGTTTGGTGTTATTTTATTGTTTACCATTTCTTACTATTTAGTGCTTGTCAGACATTACTTACTTGAGGCAGAACATTTGTTTGCTTCACAAGGAAAGGTGATTTATTAAAAATAAATAAAATGGCATGATTTCCAGAATACACTAATGCTCCTTATCTTAATTGACTTTGGGAATGAGCCTTTACATGAGTTTTTTTACCTCCCTAGATCATTCTGAAAAGGTGTAAAATGCTTCCAGAAACAATTTTGTAAAACTAAACAGATTTCACAAGTTGGAGAAAAGCCTGACAAGAGGAGGATTGGGTTTTACCAGATTTTTCTATTATAAGAAACTTGCATGACTTAAAATATTTTCAGTATGTCCTTTGAGGAAAAAAGCAAACACAGTGCTACCCAAATCATTACTAAATGTTTCTCATTTGGGTTCCATGTTTCTCTCTCTTTTTCTTTTCTTCACAGTATTGACTTGAAGCTGAAAGAAAAGCCCTAGTTGGCCACGCTGGAAGAAGAGGATGCTTTTCCGGTTCATGGTTCTGTTGAAACTTATCTACCTGAAAGAGACAGGGCTGATGTGCCATTCTAAATTTCTAAGGGGAAAAATAGGAAGAAAGTTTGTTTACTCTTAACGTATTTTGTGAAATTGTGTGTACTTTCCTATTTTGCCAATTATGTGCCTCAAAGATTTTAGTTGAGCCTTAGCAAGAAAGTACGACCTTCCATTTCAATACTTCGTTGACACAGTGCGGTGATATTTTGTCCCTTACCCAGGTGTTTACCAGTAAGATACCTTTAATCCACTGTAAATATTAGTGGATTTGTTTCCATAGATTAGCTGGATTACCCTTTGGTGATTGCATTAGGTTTAAAGGACACAGGGCTCAACTCCTCCCAGGAAAGTTACCCCTGTGCGACTCCACCTTTAAAATCCTAAGCCTGACTAGGACAGCCATAAACCACACAAGGTATAAAACCATCATCAGCTAAGTGCCCACTTTGTTCTTGTTTACCAGAATCTCCTTTAACTTCTCAAAGGGAAGCCGGGCTTTCTAATCCACATCAACTTTATTTTAGTTGTCAGATTGGTCATTACATTTTATGTAAATTGGTCTTTTAACAGATCATTTTTCTGATGAATGTTGGTGACCTCCACATTGCGAAATTTAAGAATGAGCGTTGCAAGTTTGGTAGCTCTCTGAGCTTCAAGCCATAAACTCAGCTCAAGATGTTACCTTATAAGTGCCAAGAGCTCAAGTGCAAGGTGGCCTACTCAAAAATCATTTGGTAGCATTCAGTTATCCATGAATTCTTCTCTCGCATGCATTATAAAAAGTGATCTGCTTTAAAACACTATAATCTGATCACAGGCTTAAAATTAAATATGAGTATATTAAATTAAATATGTACTTTCATGTACAAAATATTTCCTTTATAGTCTTCATATGCCCTGTAAAATGCCGACAAGATTTCAAGTCTGTAGGCCTCTAGCGGGGTGGGGTGGCAAACCACAGCTAACTCTAGCTCACCACTGCAAGCTCAGAATGGCTTTTATATTTTGGGTTGGAAAAAAAATTTTTTGAATACTTCATGACACATGAAAATTATTCAAATGTTAGTACCCATAAATAAAGTGTTACTGAAACACAGCCACACAAACTTGTTTTTGTGCTGTCTACAGCTACTTTCACACTACAACTGCAGAGCTGAGCAGTTCAACAGACCGTATGTCCCACAATGCCTAAAACGTTGAGTATGTTTACAGAAAAAGTTTGCTGACCCCTGCTCTAGCAAACGCATCCTTTCCTAGTCCACCCCAATTTGTATTTAGTTTCCCTAACAGAACGGACAAATGAGGCTGCAAACTAATTTATTTTTGTCAAAAATAAATGTTTTGACATCCACAGACAGTAAAATAGAAGAAATAGCCTGCTGAAAAAGATGAGGAGCCCTAGCCACAAAATCACTGCTTAGGTTGCAATTGTCAAAAATGAAGCCTTCTTAGAAGCACCTCTTTAGTATTTACAGGTGTTGGCTGAAGTCCGCACCTCACTCTGGGAACCATTCTTAGTCTCCAGTGTCTCCTATTACAAAGAAGCTGGCAGAAATGAAAATGAAGGGGAGAGAGGGGCTCCCCCCTAGTCTCTTGGTGGAAAATTCACTAGGGAGAGCTGTCCAGGATACTTGGAGCTCTTGGTAGAAGGAGCCTGTAACTGCTTTGAAGTAGACGTCATTGCACAGGTGACTGAGTTTCTCTGACCTCATTGCTTCATGTCTGTCTCCTCCTGTCCTCCTGCATGTGCTCCCACACACACAGGTCGGCCCTCTTTCCTCCATAAGCCTCCATCATTTTCTCTTTTCTCCTCTTGATTGAGATACAAAAGCGAGTATCTTGTTGAATTGTATGTTCTATTGGATCTCCTCCCTCATAACACCTGGCTTGTTGGACAGAAAAACCCTACAGCCCACCCTCTCCCATAGCCCCTTCTCCACTTTTGATAGCCCAAATTACGCCTCTCCCAGAACACAGTGTTGACATAAACACAGTTACCCAATATTCCTGTTTGTTCACCTATCTGCTACTTTCACTCAGTAGCATCCCATTTTGTAAAATGAATTGCATGGTCACCCTGTCACAGGAAGTAATGAAGAATCCAGTGTTCAGTGTAGTGGTGCAAACCTGAGGGCGTAGAGCTGTTCATAGAGGGCTCCTGTTATAGCCAAACAGACACAGCGACAATCTCACCATATATATATATATATATTTAACTTGTCCAGCTCATCTATGGAAAACTACTCAGGTGGTATGCTGTTTGAAGCCTCATCTTCCTATATGAAAATTGTGGGCATTTATCCCAATGATCTTGTTGCAGCTGTTCTGTGGTCTGCAAAACCACTCTGATATTTAGGTATCTGCTATTTTATTATCTTAAAAAGACAATTTAATTGCATGTGCTAGAGAAAAGCTACCATGTAAATTCACCCCAAGTAAATAGAATCCTAGATGAATCCTAGAAAAATGATCCCTAAGCAGATAGGTAGACAGAGGTAAACATTCACAGGATTCAGCTCTCTAGCTCTTGCATTCTGAGCATTCTTGCTTTGGTTCTGACTTCTGGGAACTGCTTTGCATTTCCCCTATAGATCTGTAGTTTAAGGGAACCAAGGGGTCACTGGGGCAAAAGCATTGTTTCTCAAAGCTCCTTGATTAAGAGAACAGAAATCTGCACAGAAGATACTGTCAAGGAGTGAGAAAATTTGTTTGAGGGCAGTAGCTCAGTGTGGAAGAAAATCCTGAAGCTTCTGTTGAAACCGTACAATGTTCTGTGGGGTTACTCTCTAAGGCATTCTCTGAGGTGTGTGAGGAAGTCACTACTCCTAGCCTTTGTTCAGATATAATTTTAAATATTCAGTTATGGTACTATGTTTGCAACTCTCATCTTGTCACAATGCCTCAGTAGTTTGTTCCCTTAGAAACATTTAGATGTGCACAAATTAATCTTTTATATATCTAAAGGTTTTTCTATCATGTATTGGGTTGCTCAGAATAAAGTATCTATTAGACTTTGTTTTGGTAAATAAATTCTCCCTGTTGTAGATTAATATAAAATCTGTAATGACATAATATATCTATATAGCCTTGCTGTATAATTCAGAAATAAAAATTGATTCTGCATGTTATGGTTTTCTTTCTTTCAATCAGCAAGAATCTTTCTCTGGTTTCACTTTGCAGCAATTTTATCTGGACATCAGTCTAGCTTGGCACTTGGTACTGGAGAACGGTGTACATTTTGGCTTTTCTGGACACCCAAACTTTATTCTTTCTTCATTTTTGCCTTTCCTATCTCAGAGTTCAATACGCCAAGCTTTCAAACTGTGTTGTTTACTCTTTGGATAAGTGATTTCTTACTTTGGAAACATCTCCACGTTTCATGGTTACTTGATTTTTGTCTTTTCCTCTCTCTGCTCCTTGCCTTTTTATGGCATATATTTATTTTTAAATTAAAATGTATTAAATATCATTTTATTTTTAGTTGGGGTTTTCCCCCCCATTTTCACAACCTTTAGGCAAAACCAGAGTTGAGAATCACCACTGTGCTTTTTTTTTTTTTTTTTTAGACAGAGTTTCGCTCTTTTTGCCCGGGCTGGAGTGCAATGGCGTAATCTCGGCTCACTGCAAACTCCGCCTCCCGGGTTCAAGCGATTCTCCTGCCTCAGCCTCCCGAGTAGCTGGGATTACAGGCGTGTGCCACCACCCCGGCTAATTTTGTGTTTTTAGTAGAGACAGGGTTTCTCCATGTTGATCAGGCTGGTCTTGAACTCCCGACCTCAGGTGATCCACCTGCCTCGGCCTCCCAAAGTGCTGGGACTACAAGCATGAGCCACCGCGCCCGGCCACCACTGTGCTATTTTTTTAACTTAATAAACACATGTATACCCCTGAGAAAATTGTTGGACTAGTCAAAGGAGAAATTGCTCTACAAAAAGTGAGATGTTGCATGTTCTCATGATCTAAAAATGAGTGATGGTAGATATTGTCCTCTACCCAAGAAAGGGATGAAGCAGAAGAACAGGCTGACAAGTAATTGCAGGCAAAGGAAGGATGTTCAACTACAAGAGGTACTGCTACATTCATTCTGCTCTCGTACCTAACTATGGTGGTGGAAACTGGAGGTGGGCTGGGTGTCCAGCGCTAGGGACAGGGCTGGGTAAATCGTGCTGAATACACCCTATGGTATACCACAGCTGTGAGAAGCAACAAACTATGTATTCATAAAGCAACACTTAAATCATAGGGTAGAGTGGAAAAAGAACAAACTCCATGTTTATAGCATAGTGCCACTTACATAACTTAAACATACACACACAAAACTACGTATTATCCAAAATCCATGTGTATTTAAGGACTTAACACACTCATTTGAGTAAGGGTAGGGCATGGAGTTCAGGGATAAAGTTGGGGGCCTAATTAAAAATCAAAATCATAAGGGGTCTTTTATAAGCTGAAGTTAAAAATAAAGTGAGGACAACGTAAGCCTTCAGTCATTGAAGCCAAGACTTTCAGTCATAGATTACAGAAAAGCTGTGTTTGGGCACTGTGGGTCCCCAAGGAGCCATTCCCTTCTACGGGCTTCCCCTGTGTGTGCCGTGTCCCTGTGCTGGCTGTGTCCGTGTGCTGCAGAGTGCCAGAAGCCCGCCCCGGGTTGCATCATCCTATGCAGTCATGGAGCTTTTAATTCAGAGCTGGTGCCTTTTGACACATCCATCCTCAAACAGCTGTGGGCTTTATGGAGCAAGCAGATTGCCTCACGAGACTGATTTTCCTAGATAGTTTCATTCACATCCATTCAAAAGAACCCTCTTAGGCAAAATTATTTCTTCTCGATATATAACCATTCCAATGATACTTAGATGTTAGACACCAGTAACTGCTACCCATGATCTCTCTAGCCTTACCTATAGTGAGGGACCTGTAGCCCTTAATACTGGATCATGCTTCCCTAGTGAAACTTCCTCCTTAGACCAGTGAGCTGAATTACATTGCTTTCCCACTGTATTCAATATCTATTGCTGTATTAACAAATTACAGTTGATTCTCATTTTCCACAGTAGTTATGTCCTATAAAGTCACCAAGAACACTGAGTTAGTGAATACTGATCCGTCACTCCTGGGGTAACCGGTCAATACATAAGTTTGTTCTATGTGTTTTTCAGTTTAAAGATTTCTTATTTAATGTATATTTTTCACTTGATAACACTGAATTCACAGCCAACAACCTGAATATAACTCACGCCTGAATGAAGCTTCTGCAACAGGTGTTTTCTCCATAAGGCACCTCACAGCCTTCTTGCATTTAGGAATACCAAATAGCCCCTCATCACTAGCTTGGGGGCCATTTTAAACAGTGAAATCAACAAAAAGCCCAACAATGCAAAAAACAAAAACACAAATACAGGAAACTACATAGACTGTGAAAAGGATACTTGTTGCTGAGAGCTGAAACAAGAAGACAGAGCCTCACCTTGTGCGACCTCAGCAGGGAACGTGTATCTCAGGCCAAATTTTTCACTGCTCTGCACATACCTGTAAATGAATGTGAAAGTTTTGAGTATTGATTTTAGGGATACAAATAAATTTTAGCAAGTAGGCAAATTTGCAAGTGCAAAATCTGTGAATAATGAAGATCGACTGTATTCCAAAACTTAGTGGCTTAAAACAACACACATTTATAATCTCAGTTTCTGTGAGTGAGAAATCCAGACATACCTTAGCTGGGTCCTCCACTTCAGGGCCTCTCACAGGTGCAATCAAGGAGTCTCTAACAAGACACAATCAAAGTCCATCTGGGACAGAATCTGCTTCCACACTTAACCTCATGATCATCAGCAGGATTCAGTTTCTCTGTGGTTGCTGGACTGAGCACCTCATTCCTTGCTGGCTGTTATCTAAAGGCTGCTCTCAGTTCTTTGCCTCATGGGTCCCTCCAGCACAGAAGCTTTTTTATCTTGAAACCAATGAGAAAGACTGCTAGGAACTTACAAGTTTTTGCAACCTACCACAGAATTGACATCCTCTCACTGTTGCTCTATTCTGTTGGTTAGAGGTAAGTCACCGGCACAGTGGCTCATGCCTATAATCTCAGCACTTTGGGAGGCTGAGGCAGGTGGATAGTTTGAGCTCAGGAACTTGAAACCAGCCTGGGCAACATGGAAAGACCCTGTCTCCACAAAAAATATAAAAATTAGCCAGGCGAGATGGCACTTGCCTGCGGTCTCAGCTACTCAGGAGGCTGAGGTAGGAGGATCTCTTGAGCCTGGGAGGTCAAGGCTGCAGTGAGCCATGATTGCCCCACTGCACTCCAACCTGGGTGACAGAGCAAGACGCTATCTCCAAAAAGTAAAAATTTAAAAGAAGTCAGTCACTAGCTCTAGCCACACTGAAAAGGAGACTAGGACACAGGGTGTAACTATCAAGAGATAGGGATGATTGGAGTCTACCTGGAAACTGTGCCCACCACACACCTGGTGCCTTCTACAAGTTCCTCTTTGAGCTCCTCTGTTTTACCTGTTAGGGAAGGTGTTTCTCGATGTTCAGATGGAGCCTTTTCTGCTGTTTCTCCGTGACTTCAACTAGCACAACTCTTCAGATTATTCAAAGCCTGGTTTCAATCTCAGACTACAAACTCCCACTATCATTTCTCTGTGCCCCCTCCAATCTCTGAGGAGGGGTGTGGTAAATGCTCACTTCCCCAAGCTGATGAGACCATTTCTGTACTATCTCATTGTCTTTGAAATCACACATACTGGGATTCAACCTATTGGAAAGGGTCATCTCCTTCCCATTAATCCCAGCAGAAGACCCGGGGCTGCATTTCACTGGACCAAGTTAGTTGCTTGTCTATGAGCCAACCACTGCAACGAAAGGGGTGGATTATGCAGGCTTAGTTGGGCCTGGGTCATATCTTTACCCTTGGAGAGAGAGAAGGGAATCAGCCCCAACCAAGCCATAGTGACTGAAGTAGGGGAGTTGTGTTTCTGCAAAGGAAAATTAGTTTTCAAAAAGAAGTGGAATTAAATACCAGGCAAGATCAACAGATTCCCAGTTAGGGCATCTGAGTTGGCCTTGAAGCCTAAGCAGGCTCTCAGCGGGGAACACAGGTGAGGTGTGGAGGGCATGGTAGGGCCCGAGAAAGACCAGCTCCAGAAGCAGCCAGCCGTCACTGCAGAGTGGAGCCGCTCCTGAGGGACCATGGAATGGCCAATGAGTTCTGAAGCAAAAATAGCCTCACTCCGATCCCCCACCTTCAATAGATATCTCATAAATGAAAAATGTAACACAGGAAAACCCTTTCTCCAAACTGAGAATAGGGAAAGGGTCGATCCATTCACCTGAAGTTTGGAGAATATGATACCAGGAAAGGAGCATTGATCAAGCAGGAAAGAAAATGACCACTAAATTCAGCCCTGGATAATATTTACTTTCCTTATAGTCCAGGTACAGCTTCCATCCTCCCTTACCTTTCCTGTTCTCTTCAGTGAAAAATGATCTAAGAAATCAAGAATACCTGTCATAGCAGTATTTGCTGAAGAAATATCTGTTGACAACTAGAATGACTTTGAAATTGAATATCACTTAGGATATAAGTAAAGGAAGTACATATAGAAACTCTTGCTATGTTTCTAATTTTAATTTTTCCTCAAAATATGTATTCAAAAATTGTAGGCCAGGCATGGTGGTTCACACCTGTAATTCCAACATTTTGGGTGGCTGATGCAGGAGGATCACTTGAGCTCAGGAGTTCAAGACCAGCCTAGGCAAGATGGTGAGACCTTGCCTCTACAAAAAAAAAAATTAAAAATTAGCTAGGCATGGTGGCACACACCTGTAGGCCCAGCTACTTGAGAGGCTGAGGCAGGAGGATAGCTTGGGCCCGGGAGGTCAGGATTGTAGTGAACCATGATTGCACCACTGCACCCCAGCCTAGGCAACAATAGAGCAAGACTGTCTCAGAAAAAATAACAACAGCAACAACAAAATTTTAAATGTAACAGGGGTTTGTTATAAAAATTTCAGACAAAAATGTGTGTAAAGGAAAGTCTCCTTGTATCATTCATTTGTTGTTGTGTTACAAATAACCCCAAAACTGAGCGGCTTAAAACAGTACCATTCATTCATTTTGCTCACTAATCTACAATTTGGGCAGGAATCAGAAGGAATAGCTCATCTCAATTCCAGATAGCATCTGCCAGGGCAGCTTGGCTGGGGGTTGGAGGAACCACTTTCAAGAAGTCTGGCTAACCCGGATGGCAAGTTGTTTAAAATGTTAGCTACATTTAAAGCTATGATATCCCTGAAGGTAAATATTGTCCAGGTGATCTTAAAGAAAAATGAGAGTTGTAAGTAAAAGAAGTACAGCTTCCTCTCAATTGTTGAAATACAATTTTCAAAAAGTTAAAAACTTAGCCAGGCATGGTGGAGCCCCCCTGTAATTCTAGCTACTTGGAAGGCTGAGGCAGGAGGATTACTTGAGGCCTGGGAGGTCAGGATTGCTGTGATCATGCCACTTCACTGTAGCCTAAGCAACAAAGTGAGACCTTGTCTCAAAAAAGAAAAAAGAAAGTTAAAAACATGACTTTCATGCAAAGTGAACACATGTTAAAGATTTGCTTAACTCATTAATTAATTATGTTAAGTAAGATGTTAAGACTGGTCAAAAGAACAAAAATAGATGTAACGTCGGGAATGTTCAAATGAATTACTTAATAGATGAATTTGGGTACTATCCAATCGAGCAGCAAAATGTCATCTTTGGAGTTATCACTTCTACCAGTGGAAATCAACTCTACCTCTACTCAACAATACTCATTCCTGGGGAGATTACCTCCATTCTTCAGTCTCTATCCATATACAGATGAAGTTGTCCCCAGAGCAAGTCCTATTGTCCCAGATGGGTATGTAAGTCAGGCCTAGTCCAAAAAAGCGTCCCATTCTCCCAGTGACAGACTCAGAGATGGATATGTGACCCAACTGGAACCTGAAAGACACAATACGATTTGGCAGGGACTTTTGCGAGAGCCACCACATCTTTAGGGGCACTTGAATCTGGAAAGTTTTAGGTCTGAACTTGCTGGGAGGCATCCTGCTACCACAAGAAGCCTGAAAATGAGGAAGCAGAGAAGAAGAGAGATGAACAACGGAGGGAAGCAGCATCCTGATGGCTTTAACTGAGTCCCTGAATCAACTGTGCAGCCTGATTGCAGTCTTAACTCCAGACTTTTCTATTATATTAGTCAATATATTTCCTTCTTTCTTGTTTGCTGGTTTAAGCCAGGTAAAGTGACTCCAAATGACCCCTCACGATACAGGGGGTTCTCCAGCCCTGGTTTCTTCTTCCGTGTTAGCTCATTAAACATATATTCACTTCTCTGGGTTGCAGTTCCTCCTTCTGTAAAAAGAATAAGCGATACCTACTACGAAGAGTGATAAAGATTAAGTAAGTAATAAACATACCTTCATAATACCATGATAAAAGAGATGTCTATGCAATGCTGAATTTTTCTAAATTAGATTCTATATGCTTCTAACCTCCTGCTATGGTCTGAATGTTGGCGTCCCCCCGGAATTCGTGTTTAGAACCTAAGACCCAGTGTAATGGTATTAAGAGTGGGTCTTTTAGGGGGTGATTAAATCATTAGGACTCCATCCTTGCGGCTGGGGTTAAACTCTTATACAAATACTAAAGGGGGCCAGGTGCAATGACTCATGCCTGTAATCCCAGCACAGCACTTTGGGAGGCCAAGGCAGGAGGATCACTTGAGCCCAGGAGTCCAAGACCAGCCTGGGCAACACAGAGGGACCCTGTCTCTTTTTATTTTTTATTTTTTTTAAGTGCTGGAGGGACCAAACACAGTGGCTTATGCCTGTAATCCCAGCACTTTGGGAGGCCAAGGCAGGAAGAGTGCTTGAGGCCAACGGTTTGAGACCAGCCGGGACACAATAGGGAGATGCTGTCTCTATAAAAAAATTTTATAAACTAGCCAGAGGTAGTGGCTCATGCCTGCAGTCCCAGCTACTCAGGAGGCTAGGGTGGGGGGATCACTTGAGCCTGGGAGGTTGAGGCTGCAGTGAGTTGTGACTGTACCACTGCAGTCCAGCCTGGGGAACCCTGTCTCAATAAAGTGCTGGAGAAAGCTAGCTGGGCTCTCCTGCTCTTCTGCCTTGTGCCATGTGAGGACATGGCAAGAAGGCCCTCGCCGGACACTGAATGTCAGTACCTTAATCTTGGACTTTCCAGACTCCCAAACTATGAGAAATAAATTTCTATTGTTTGTAAATTATCCACTGTAGTAATTTTGTTCTAGCAGCACAAACAGGCGAAGATATCCCCATTTACTAGAATTAGAAGACTCCCAATATCAGTCACTGTGGGGGCTCTTTTAAGTGGTGAAATCTGTCACAAATTGCCTAGAAAATGTTGTCTGATCTTCGGCACATCATGTTTGCTATGCGGTTGTTCATTGTGCAAGACCCTGTGGTCCATTCAAAGGCAGGTGGCTCCGCAGGCTCTTTGACCTTTAGGGTATCTGGCAACTTTTACATAGCTCCTGAGACCATGGTGTTGGATGTTCATTGCCCCCAGCAAACGTGTTTACTTCATCAAAAGTTCCTGCTGCCACACAGGATACTTCCTGTTAGGAAACTGATGCTTGTGGAATTTCCTTCCACAGCTCCTCAAGTCCTTGCAGCATTGCTAACCTTGGGCAACTCATTGTCTTTCAACTCAATCCCCAGACACCATACCTTCCAAGAAACACCCTGCCGAATTCACCTTCCGCACGGGGGCCTAGATAGATCTTTCTAACAGATGCCTTGCAACTTTGTTTTGGGCTGGGAACCACACATTTAAAAAAAAAACATTAATAACCCAGAATAGCAACCGTCAAGAGGACCCTCAGTGAGCTCCACCTCCTGGTATTCATGCCTTAGTGTAATCCCCTCCTTTGAGTGTGGGTTGGACCTAGTGACTCACTTCTAACCAACAGAACACAGCGAAAGTGATGAAATGTCACTCCCAGAATTAGCTTATAAAACCACAGTGACTTCAACCTTGTTTCCCCTGTCTCTTTTCCTCCCTCACTGCTCTGAGGGAAGCCAGCTACCATAATTGTGAGCTGCCCAACAAAGCG